CCAGGAGTGCCGAAGTCCCGTGCCGCCCCCCGCCGCCACCGATCCCCCCGAGGCCAGGACGAGAGCGCCCCCGGGTCGGAAGAGGGAGCCCCCAACGCAGGCCGTGCGCTTCCTGCCCTGGGCCACGCCGGGCCAGGAGAGCACTGCTGTGCCCCAGACCTTGGAGAAGAACAGGGCGGGGCCTGAGGCCGAGAAGAGGCTCCGCAGAGGACCGGAGGAGGACGGTCCTTGGGGGCCCTGGGACCGCCGAGGGGCCCGCAGCCAGGGCAGAGGTCGCCGTGCCCGGCCCACCTCACCTGAGCTCGGTAAGGCCTCGGCGAGGGCTGAGAAGGTGCTGAGTGAGACCTGGGTGGGAGGACGTTTGGGGAGAGCGATGCTGCTGGGCAGTTGAGAGGGCGGGCTTCACAGGGAAAGCACCAGGTTTGAGTTTGAGTGAAGGTCTGTGAAGGTCCTTGTGCTGGAACCTGCCTGCTGGTGAGGCAGAGTGCGAGTGTGTTTTGGTGGAGGCTGGGGGGAGCCGAAGAAAGAAAGGTGCCCAGATGCCTGCCGCAGGTACCCTGGGTCCAATGGCCAGCTGGGTCAAGGACCTAACCATGGTGGGAGGCATTGCTGGGAATCTGAGGAGCCCCTCCAAACCCCACTCCTCTGTGGGGGAAGAGATGGAAAGCCATCTCAATAAATAATGTGTCAGGCCCCTGTTCCAGGCAAGCTTTGGGCCAGCCACCTCTCATCTGTGCCCTTTCATCCCAGCGCCATCCCCTGACCCACCTGTGGCCACTGAGATCTGACCCGGTCTATCACCTCGCTGCCTCTCTCCCATCCTTGAGTCCTTGTGTGGCTGTGCTGACCGTAGATACATGCCAGCCTGTGTGTTGTCTCCCAGTCGTCCTGTGGATGGTGGCCAACAGCCAGAATGCCCCTGCTCCTAATTCTGCTCACCCTGAACATCAACTCGGGGTCCACTCCTGGATGGAGGCCTAGGAAGCCATCCTTGACTCACTCGCACCCCCTGCTGCTTCCCCAGGCCAGATGCCTGTGTTCACTGCTCCCAGGACCCTCGTCAGAGTTGCTTTCGTTTCACTTACCACCTTGTATTTTTCTTCATCAAAGTTAATTTATTTTTAATTTAAGTATTACCACCTCAAAGTTTTAAAAAATAATTAGGTACCTGTCCATTGCCCTATTGGCCACATTATTGCATACCACAATACAGGTGTTGTATTAACTGGGAGCTTAGGGATGTTGTTTTATTTTAATTTGTATGTCAGCTGTGTAAGATGTTGAGTGTTACTTATCAGCTCCACCTTGCAGATAACAGAGCTGAGGCGCAGAGAGGTTATATCATTTGTCCAAGGTTATGGAGCTGGAAAAGAGTGTGATTGGGAGTCTCGCTGCTCTTTTGGCTACCTACGCCGTGCTTTGTTTAGCTTAAAGAATGTCAGAGTTGGGCCATTCTGGTAGAGGGATCCACTGCAGTGGGGTTGGAGGATATATTCGTGCGTACAAGCTTCCTGGAAGCAGGGAGTGCTTCTTCTTTCTTGTTGTATTCCTGGTACTCATACAGAGCTTAGTGCACTGTAGGTACAGTATTACTGTTTGGTGGATGGTCAGAATCGACGCGTCTCAGACGTGAGGCGTCTCAGACGGCTGCTGGACCCACGTGCTGCTCCCTCTTGAATCCGGTGGCATCACTAATTTGGCAACTTACCACATGTTGTCCTGTGACAGCGGTATTACTGCTTAAGGCTTGGGTTGCTATTAGCTTGTACTCGGTCTCCTTGGCAGCTGGGAACACCTTGTGCACTCAGAGCACTTCCTAAAACAGGGCCTGATCTACCACCCTTGATGACTGATTTGTGGAAAGACGTGCAAGACTTCTTCCAGAAACCACAGTCGCTGTGGCTGAAGTTGAGAAGTCCAGCTAATGTGGAGTCCTGGCTGCCCTGTCCTGTTTGAGAACCTCTCTTCTGTCTTTTCCTCCCTGTTTCAGGACATTCAGGAGTGAGAGCCCTTGTTCCCCAAACCCCACCTTCTGGAAGCCCTTCTCTCTGGGTTTGGCTTTCTAAGATACAAGGCTGTCACGATCCCCTGTCCCCCTGAGTCATCCCCACAGGGACCCTGTCCCCTTACCTCGTCACCCATGTCTCCGGCAGAGTCTTCAGATGACTCATATGTGTCTGCTGGAGAAGAGCCCCTGGAGGCCCCTGTGTTTGAGATCCCTCTGCAGAATGTGGTAGCGGCTCCAGGGGCAGATGTACTGCTCAAGTGTATCATCACTGCCAACCCCCCGCCCCAAGGTGAGCTCCAGGGCTGGGGCCAGGCTAAGGTTGAGACAGGGAGCGGGAGGTCCCCCGTCAGTCCTCGGAGGGAGGGGAAGGGGAGGAGGCACATCTGCCCCATGGGGCTGGCTGGACTCCTGTGTGTGTGTTAGGGGAGTTTTCCCAGAACCCCCTGGGAGGAGAGAGGGCAGGCCTGGGCTTCTGTGAGTGAGGGGGCAGTCCTCAGGATTCCCTAGGGTTTGGGCTCTGTGTGGGGTGAGGGGAGATTTGCTCCAGTGGACTACTGTGGGCCATGGCATCCAGTCACTCCGCTCCTTCCTCACAGTGTCCTGGCAGAAGGATGGGTCTGCGTTGCGCAGCGATGGCCGCCTTCTCATCCGGGCTGAAGGAGAGCGGCATACCTTGCTGCTCCGGGAGGCCCGGGCGGCCGATGCCGGGAGTTACACAGCCACCGCCACCAACGAGCTGGGTCAGGCCTGCTGTGCTGCCGCGCTGGCCGTGAGACCTGGTAGGGAGCCTGTGGGGCCCCGGGCGGGATGAGCCGTGACCCTTCCCACTCCCAGCCCAGAGCTCAGGTTCTCGACCAGCGTGCACAGTCTGTTCTTAGATGTCACCTGCTCTGGTGGAAGCATTCTAAGTGGCCCAGCCTCAGAGCGGGGGCCGCAATCCCAAAGGCACACACCAGGCTGGCCAATTCATGAAGTCATTGAAATTTGTCTTTACGTATCCTCTAAATGCCATCCTCCGGTGGCATTTCCCTGAAAATGGTCCTGTGGGGAAAGCAACTTATCCTTGAGTCTCAGAGAAGAAGAACCTCCCAGCTCAGAGGGCTTAAAAGCCATCAGGAGCCTTCTGAGGTCTGAAGTAAAAAGTAGACCCTTCCCCACTCCCTCGCTCCTGTTGAACCCAAAGCCCTAAAGAGGGGGCAGCTGAGAGCACTGTTCTGGAGATGGCTGTGGCTCTGGCTGCTTTGTTTTCTATATTTACAAAAGCCCTCACTTGGTGTTGGACTACTTCCTTTGGGTGTAAGCCCGGTTTCTTTCAGGTTCGGGGCAGGGCCAGCCTGGCGTCAGTGTGTGTGGTTAGTTCTACTCATTCAGGTTGATGGGCCCAATGGTGTGCTGATCCTGGGCAGTGGGGGAGGGGTAGGTGAGGCTGGGTAGAAAGGAAAGACACAGACTCCATCCTCAAGGATGTTGCCATTGGGTCACCAAGCTTGATCAGAGGACCTAGGTTGGAGGACACTGCAGGGCAGAGGAACCCAGGTCCTAGAACATGGAGCAGAGCAGTCAGTCAGTGTTATGGGATGCTGGATTGAGAGGCAGATTTACAGCGGCAGCAGGAGGGGCTGGGCATGCCTGGAGGGGGGACAGCACACGCTGTTCTGTCCCTTTCTTTCACTCAGCTCGACAGGAGACAGGATTACAGAGCCTGTCTTGCTGTGGTCCCGGGGCTCCCGCACTTTTCACCATAACGATGATTTTGGTGGGATCTGCCCTGAGCCCCAGTCCTGCATTAGATCCTTTTGTTTGCACCTGTCTGGCTTTGCAGACCAGCAGGTCTTCGTCTGCCTTAGCATACACACCCCTCCCAGGAGCCCATGTTTAATCTCTCTCCTCACCCCTCCCACCACGCTGAATCATGCCCGGCCCTCCATGGCACGTTTCCGGCCTTCCATCACCTCTGGGATCTGGCTTCTGACTCAGCTCCCAACTCTCCTCAGGGGGCCTGGGGCTGGCTCCAGGACTCTGGTCAATACCTGGCTTGGGCTGAGATCTGGTAAGGGGGTGGGGGGTGCCCCGCTACTGGCTTGTGGCCATTTGGGAGCCTTTTAAGGTTGGGAAAGAGGCTTGGGGCAAGGCAGCTGTCAGCACTTGACTGGGAGCTCTGTGTTTGTTGCACTGAACCTTCCTGTGCTTTGGTTTCCACATTTGTAAACCAGAGATAATTATACCATCTTCACGAACAAAAGTAAATGTGTGAATGAGCTTTATGAACTGTAAAGCTGTAGACAAACATTAACTGTTAGCGTTATTAAGGGGTGCCGTTGTGCACAGGAGGTCAGGTCTCCACGAGCCTCCAGAAAGCTGCCTTTTCCTTTTCTGACCATTCTCCAGACTATCTGTGCCCTGGGGCCTCCTCCCCTGCTCTTGCCAGGCGCGCAGCCCCAGCCCCTCTATATTTCCCAGTTTTTGGGTCCTCAGCCTATGGTGGCATCTGTCTGCTCACCCCCCGCCATGGGGAGTCAGAAAAGCTTCATCTCATTAGTCAGCCACTAGTCAGTGTCTTTGCCCCCAGAGAGCAGCCCCCGTAAGTCATGCTGACTCGGCCCCAGGACTCCCTTGGCAGAAGCAGACTTTCTTCCCCTACAAGGCACTGTTTGGTCCAGAGTGGTTGGACAAGGGCCAGTGGACCTGGAGAGCAACAGAGTGGCTGGAACGATGGGGTGGCACGACGTTTGGCCAGGGCGGGGTCCCGGGCCTGGACTGTGTGCAGTGAGGGGGTGGGGCTAAGGAAGAGTGTCAGGCAGCCTGGCAGTGTGGCTGCCTGCAGGGCGGTGGGAGCCCGCCCAGGGAGGGGGTGCGTAGTGTCTGGTAGGAAGCGGCCTCCTGGAACCATCTCCCTTTCTCGTTCCTTAACCACCCACCCCAGGACCCTGGCAACCAGGACTGACTGTGCAGTGCCCTCTTGGCATGCCCACCCCAAAAGGGCCTGTTCTGGAGAGCCCACAGATCTCAGTTCCCGGTTGGGAACCATGGGAATTAGGGAATGGGTAACTGGGCAATGTAGTTGCCCGAGTGCTGTGGTTTGAGGGGCAGGGTCTGGTTCTCTTCCACTCCGGCAGCCCCACCCCGGCCCCATGTCCCTTCCAGCCTGCCCCAGCCCACTGGGTACTGCTGAGACCACAGTCGTTCTCCCGAGGGCGTGTGTGTATTGCGGCGGGTGGTTGGGGAGTGTGAGAAGTATGCTTACCTGAAGTGAAGCATTCTCAGCTGCCTGCATCTGTCACACAAGCATCTATTGAGTACCAGCTGGGTGCCAAGTTCTACATCTCTCTGAACAGTTTTTTGTGTGTTTGGAGAGTGTCTTTTCACATCTCCTCTCTTACTTGAGCTACACTGCACCGTATATACCCCTTGGAGAGGTACACGATAGGTGGCGATGTTCCCATTTGATAGATAGGAAGACAGAAACAAGGAGAATGAAGTGACGTGGAGCTAGCGCTAGGCCAGCAGCCTTTACTGAGTACCTGCAATCTACCTAGGAATGTTGTAAGCAACAGGTGATCTGGGGTGATGGAAATAAGCTTAGGTGGATAGCAAATGAAAAGAACAAGGAGTTAGCTTCTAGTCAGTGCTTCATGTGTACCAGGGCCTGTGTTGATTGGCTTATCACATTTACTCTTGTCCCGGGAGGTAGGTTCTATTATTATGCCCACATTACACATGAGGAAGCTGAGACTTGGAAAACTTGAGCAAATTGCTCTGGAGAAATGCTGATCAATAGAACTTTCTGTGGTGATGGAAATGTTTTATATGTGCACCATCCAGTATGGTGGCCACTAGCTACATGTGGCTGTTGAGCCCTTGAAATGTGTCTAGTGTGACCAAGGAAGTGATTTTTCTTTTCATTTAAATTAATATACATATAAGTAGCCTCAGGTGGCTAGTGCCCTCCATGTTGGGGTGCTCAGCTCTAGGAGCAGACGGTCAGTTGGGGGCTGGTCATGCTTTGAAGCCCTGTCCCTGGATCTCCCAAGCCTACACTCCTTACCATCCCCTTCCCTGCTACTCTGAACAGGTTCAAGGTGAAGGTAGAATTGTGCTCATGAGCTCATACCGGGTTGGGGGGGGGGGGTCAGAGACTGCTGATGCCCTCTGTGGGTGGGTCAGATGGGGGGGTTCTCTCCTTCCTCTCTTGTCTCCCCATCTCTGCTGTGGCTGTGGTCCAGCACCTCAGGCTCTGACAGGAGGCCCTTTGGGTGCTAGTCAGGACAAAAGGGGACATGGGGGCTCCATTCTGCTTCCTTTCATCCTCCCCCAAGCACAGGTCTTGTGTATTTGAGCCCAAGGTTCTAGCATTTTCCAGCTGAGGCCTTGGCCTCTTCATGTTTCCTTGTCTGCCCACAGTTTCCTCATCTGTAAGGTGAGGGTCCTTATATCTACTGGGCTATTTACTTGGTAAGATTTATGAGGCTCTGTGGGGATGAGAATGTAGATAAGGACATTTGGGCCAGAGGATATGGCTTTTCAGGGCTCATTCTGGTCCCACCATATGATTGACACTGTCGCAACAGAATAGAGTTTGGCTATAGCGGGTCATGAGGACAAAAGGAAAGGCAACAGTGTCTGCTCCTACCCCTTCTCCTGGCCAGGGCTGCTGCGGAGTTATGACATCTCCCCTGTGAAGGCAGAGGCTGCCGATGGAGGGGATCTTGGAATGCCATGTGACCCCATTGTCCATCTTTGAAGGGGGGTTGGATAGCATCTAAAAAAGCAGTGTGGTCCCTTGGCCAGACTCAACCCTTCCTCCCCACTCCTGTCTACCAGGAGCAGGTTGGCCGTGATGGGTGTCTGCCCAGGGCTGCTTCCTCAGAGTGGGGGCTGTCACACTCAGCCCATGAGAAGAATGGGGACTTAGTCTGCCATGAGTGCCGACCCTCTGTCTAACACAGAGCAACCCCAAATAGTCACACGTAGGGAATTAACTGTTTCTACGGTGAGGTCAGGCTGACCGTGTGAAATTCTCTCTGCCCCCTTTTAAAAAAAAAAAAAAAATTTAACGTTTATTTATTTTTGAGAGAGAGAAGAGCATGAGCGGGGAAGGGGTAGAGAGAAAGGGAGACTCAGAATCCGAAGCAGGCTCCAGGCTCAGGGCTGTCAGCACAGAGCCTGACACGGAGCTCGAACTCACAAACTACAAGATCATGACGTGAGCCGAAGTCAGATGCTTAGCCGACTGAGCCACCCAGGTGCCCCAGTTCTCTCTGCTCCTTGTCCCTTGCAAACCAAAACAGAAACCTCAGCGCTGCTCTTCTGCTTTGGAAGGGGCGGTACCCATGACAGCACCTGTGCCTTCCCAGAGGCAGGCTGGCCTGTATCCTCCTTTTCCCTCAGCCTCTCTGTCTTCCATGGTGGCCTGACCACAGCAGACATTTAAAGGCATCACCTCTGGAGGAGCCCACTGAGACAGTGCCCGTGGAGAACGGACTACGAATAATGGCTGGGCCATGTTTGAGTGTTTGTTAAGTCCCACATGTCATGCCCTCCCTCGGAAACCTCGAGGGAGGTGCCCTTTGCCTTGAGAGTGAAGGCCACTCCCCGGAAGCTGGCCTCTGCCATCTGGCCCCGAGGATGACCCCAAGGTGGCTGGAGGCCTCTGAGAGGCTGAGAGAGGCACCTACTCTAACGTGGTCGGGTCTTACTCCTTTTGTTTTTACCCAGTTTTGTAAGCAAGTTGAGCTGCAGTGGTCTGCATGTCCTTTTTTTCTCCGAATATTTGCTCACACAGTTTCCTCCTCAGGAAAGACTTTCCCCCTTTTTCCTTCTTCAACCAAACTTTTTTTTTTTTTAATGTTTATTTGTTTTTGAGAAAGCGACTGAGGAAGGGGCAGAGAGAGAAGGACAGAGGATCCGAAACAGGCTCTGTGCTGACAGCAGAGTCCAATGCAGGGCTAGAACTCGTGAACCGTGAGATCATGATCTGAGCCAAAGTCGGATGCTTAACTGACTGAGCCACCCCGGCGCCCCTCAACCAAATTCATAATTCCAATAATACCCCTTCCCTCAGTTACCCTGTCTTCCCTGAGTCCAGAGTAATCTGCTCTCTGCACTCCCATGGCTCTGATCTGCCCTTTTCTTGCCACCTTATTCCTTCTCACTAGACTAGTTGTGTATGTGTCTCAGTTGTCACCCTTATCAGGCAGAAGGCTCCTGAAATCATGACCATGCTTTGTCCACTTCTCAGCTATCGTAGCCACACCTGGAGGCCCTCCTGGCTAGTCTGGGGCTATGAGGACCACAGGGATTGCATGGGAGGTAGTAGTGTGGGGGGGAATCAAGATCCATGTGACTTTCCCAGTCCCTGGAACAGCCTGGGTGACACACAGAGGCTGGGCGGGACATGCATCTGCAAAGGGTACTAACGAAGATCTGCCTAAGCATGGAGGTTGGGATGGCAGAAGAAACCATGGAGCAGCGGTCTTTACAGTGTGGTCCCCAGACCAGCAGCATCCGCATCACCCTGGGAATATGGTAGAGACGCACATTAGCATACCCCCTCCCTTAGAAACTCTGGGGGTGGGGCACCTGGGTGGCTCAGTCAGTTAAGCGTCAGACTCTTGATTTCAGCTCAGGTCACGATCTCACAGTGTGTGAGTTTGAGCCCCGCATTGAGCTCTGTGCTGACAGCAAAGAGCCTGCTTGGGGTTCTCTCTCTCTCTCTCTCTGCTTTCCCCGGCTGGCATGCACATGCACGTGCCATGCATGCTCTCTCTCTCCAAATAAATAAATAAACTTAAAAAAAAAAAAGAAACTCTGGGGCTGGGGCTCAGCAATCTGTGGTTTAAGCTCCATCCTGATGCCCCGTGAACTTTGAGAACCACTGCTGTAGAGTCAGGAACCTTGCTCAAGGTGGGAGGCCAGGTGGTCCTGTGGGAAGCACTTGGGCTTTTCAGATCCCTGCCCTGATAAGTGGCCAAGTGAGGTGAGCTCACCTCTCAGGGTTGTTCTTCCATGAAGATCACAGGGGTCCCTAAACTTTCATGTGCATAAGAATCACCTGGTGTGCTTTTTTAAAATGTATTTTCCTGACCCCCATTTTAGGACATCTAATTCTTCAGAGTAAGACCCAGGAATTTATAGATTAAACAGGCTCCCAGGTGGTCCTGATGTGGGTGGCTGAAAAGCCCTGGTGTAGAAGGCCTTTCATGTAGGTGACTGTGACTATATTTATCCTTAGAACATCTCAAGGGATGTTGGGACCAGTATTGAGCTGGATGCACGGGTCTGGGGAGGCTCCCTCACAGTGGTATTTTCATCAAGTGAGTCTGGCCTGGGAGCAGTGTTGAAAGGCCACACGTGTGCACAGAGTCGGCATGTTTTGGGGTGGTGGGGTGTGTAGGGGCAGCACCTAACCAATATGTGCATATTAGGTTATACCCACTTCCTGGCTGGTATAAGAATGTTTCCCACCGTGAGAGCCAGGCTTGTGGGTGGAGCAGGACTGGCTACAAAGATGGTCTGGGTGGTGGGATCAGTAAGAAGTGGGGTGGCACCAGAGCCTGGTGTGGAACCCCAGAGGTTCTGGGAGCTGGAGACAGATCCTTGCTCAGTGTCTCCGGGCGGCCTCAGGACCTTGATTCACCTGGTTGCTGGATGCCCTCAGGGTGCAGTTCCCCCAAGCCACCACCAGGGGTCTCTGAGGCTCCCTGCAAACCTTGCCAATCTGCTTTAAGTCTCTGCTCTCCCTTCTTGGGCCCCTGAGCGCCTGCAGCGCCATCCAATCTCGAGGTGACCTTGGAGGTCACCAGGCACCACAGAGAGGAGGGGGCTCCCGCTTTCAGGGCCCATGCCTGTGGTCTCAGCATCAGCTGGTGGCCAAGGCCCGGGCAGATGTTCTCTAAATGCCATTCCGACTTGCCTCCCCACCCCCACCTCAAGAGAGCCAACCTGAATGGTGGGCCCCCCTCCTCTGCCAGTCCCCTCCTCCTTCTTCACTGGCAGTGCTGGGAAACACAGGTCATGGCTTGGGAATGTGGCCCTGGGTTGGGGGGGGGGTGGGTAGTGATAGGAGGAAGGAAAAGGACATATGACTTCTCAACAGCTCCCCTGTTCTGCTGCTGATCTCCAAGCCCTTTCCCCAGCCCTGGTACAGAAGGATGCTAGTTGTGGGGCATTACGGGGGAAGCAGCCCCTGCCTCGTGACTGTTGGTCCTGGTAGAGCTGACAGGGTGAGGGACAGTTGCCAACAGGTACCCCTGATAGAGCCTGAAGGAAGAGGGGTGAGTGCAGGCCCGGTGCCCCTGGGTGGTACAGGGCCAAACCTGCCATGGCAGTAGTGTGGAGGCAGAGGTGGTATTCTGGGCCCCCTCAGGTTGAGGAGGGTATTTCTGGGAAGAGGCTGAAGGTCCTGACAGTTCCCTGATTCTCAGCACCAGAAAAAACAGGGTATGGCCTGGCTCCAGGATTTGAAGCTTGTCAGCACATTCCCACGTGGGGAACAAGGGGCATCATAGGGGCCACTTGCCATCGGCCCCTCATCTGGTGGGTATGTCAAAGTGAACGGGTCAGGGCAAGCATCTTAGGTGCTGCAGTGAAGATAGCACCCCCATCTTTCCCTGGGGACTGAGACCCCCGCACTTTGAGTCAAGGTACCACCGAGGGGGCTTTGCTCTTGTCAGGGTCTAGAAACTGTAAAGAGAGAAAAGGCAGGTCCTGCTGCTTGGGAATGAGCAGGGTGGCTAAATCCAGCCTGGCTGCGCTCTGCCCCTCCCCTCTCCTCCCCCTCCACTCCAGGGCCCGCACTGCTTGTGGTCTTAGCAGGCACCACCTTCCCAGCCAGCTGCCTGCCTGCCACCGAGCCTGTCCCTGCCCTGCCAGCCCCCACCTCCTCCTTCCCCTCCTCGGGCTCCTTCCCCTCCCCCAGGCCCTCGGGTGTAGAGCCTCTGAGTGAGTGGGGCTAGGCAGGCTGGGATCTTGCTCCCTGGGGAGCTGGGTGGGGTGGGCAGTGGGCAGGCAGCAGGAGGGCCTGGTGCCAGGGCAGAGCCTTCAGGACAGGCACAGCCTGGGGTCTGTGTGCAGAGTCTCGGGTGAGTTGGGGTGCGGCCCTGTGGGGGGGCTGGGCCACAGGGGCTTGGGGTGGGGGAACCAGGAGGAGGGGCCAGGGGGCTGTGGTGGATTCATGTCTGTATTTGGTAGTCGGATAGGAGCCAGCTCAGTGAGGCTGGGCCCCTGGCCAGTTGCAGGAGAGGGCGTCAGGGCCCTGGGGACACCCCTCCCCCAAAGCAGACACTCGTGCCCCCCTCCTCTCCCGGTCTCAGCTGCCCTTCTCTGTGGATCACTCAAACTGCTTTTCCATCCCCTGAGAGTTTTGGGGTCCATGCTCTAGGGCTGGGGCCAACAGGTGCCCCTGGGGTATTTGGGGCAGGAAGCTGAGAAGGGAGAGGGGGAAGGGCAGGCTGGACAGTGCCGCCTCATTGGCCCTGGCACTGTCCGGATGGGGCTTGTCTGAGGTGTGTGTTCCTCTGCACCAGGCCCAGCTCACCCAAGAAACGGGTCCCTGGCTGTACCACTCTGGGGACCATCTGCATTAGGAACCTGCAGTTCCATGCCAGGAATGTGGGTTCTCTGCTCCAGTGGAATTCTAAGCCTCCTTTCGGGCCCAGACGGCAGCCCCTCTGGTGCCTGAATGCCTTGTCCCAGGCTATTGCCTATGGTTCTCCCCCCCAGGAGGGTCAGCAGCGTCAGTGTTAGGAGAGTCTGTGGCAGAGAAGGATTCATGGGCTCAGGGACAGGAAACACCTGAGCAAGGTCATGCAGCAAGCAAGTAGGAACCCCATGAAGTGAAATCAGGGCAGGACTGGCCTATGTCCTGGGCTTTGCGGGACATTCCAGACCTTATCAGGCCCTTGATCTGGGGCTGATCTAGCCAGCTCTGTCATTCTCTCTGACCCTTCTTCCCCCCCGGTGTCTCTTTCTGTGCCACTGTCTCTCTTCTGTCTCTTTTCCAGGAGGGTCCACATCACCTTTCAGCAGCCCCATCACCTCTGATGAGGAATACCTGAGTCCCCCAGAGGAGTTTCCAGAGCCTGGGGAGACTTGGCCCGGAACCCCCGCTATGAAGCTCAGTCCCAGCCAGAACCGCCGTTCCTCTGACACTGGCTCCAAGGCACCCCCCACTTTCAAGGTCAGACCACTACGGCCAGCCCCCGGGCAACCTCATTCCTTCATGTGTGCCTTTGTTCTTGGGGCCACACCAGGTTTTAGCAAGGCCTATTGCTTGGCCCCATTAACCCTTCTTACCTGGAGCCAGCCTCTGTCAGCCTAGTGTGGAAGAGGTTTCTGTCCCAGAATCCTCTGGCCCCCAGGCCACATCTGGGTCCTGAATGTCTCCCCTGACACTTTGGGGTCCCCCCCCTTCAGGTCTCACTTATGGACCAGTCAGTAAGAGAAGGCCAAGATGTCACCATGAGCATCCGTGTCCAGGGGGAGCCCAAGCCGGTGGTTTCCTGGTGAGTAGCAGCCACTGGCCACCACGGGCCAGCTTCCCCCATTCCAGCCTTGGCCCTGGGAGGCCTGGCTTTGGGTTGAGGGGAGTGGACCCTTTGTGGACTTCCCTGTGATCTGCCCAGGGGTCTATCCCGGGTCCAGTGGTGCCACTCCCTTAACACGCCTTTGTTCAGGCTCATTCAGGGCTTCTTCTGGGGTAGGGTTTGGGTAACAAAAGATCTCCTGTCTGTCCAGTTGGGGATGAATGGGCAGGAGTCGTCTCTTGGAGAAGGCTGCCCATGCCCACCCCCATCAGGTGACAGCGGGGTGATTTTCAAGGCCTGCTCTGCTCCCAGACCTGCGCTAGGCCTGGGCATAACAGTTTGTATCTGAGCTGGCAGAGCCCAGGGTTAAATGTGGGCCTCAGCTGCACTGCTTCCTCCTGGGTGCGTAGAACTTTGATTACTCAGAAGAATCGCTTAGATTCTTATTATTTGGATTCTAGTTTTCATCTGTAATTGATTGTCTGGTCCCCTGTGATTTTTTAACATCGTAAGTTATTTCTTAGCCCTTTTGGGAAGTGAGAAAGCTATCTGTTGGTTACAAATAATAAAAAAAATAAGACACGAAGACATTTCAGAGCTTCCAAGAACTGAAGAGTGTAGTTAGGTTCCAAGGAAGGTTAAGATTCAGGTGGGCAGAGGAGTTCTGGAAGTTCCTGGGGGTGGGGGAGGATCTCAGAGTCACGGTGAAAACTTGGCCCTGTTAACCCAAGGGTTAACCCATGGTCAGTGAGACAGATCTGACAAGTGGACCAAAGACGGGGTGGGGGGTGGAGGAGCCTGCTTGGCTCTGCAGCCCCACTTCCTGGTGCAGGCAAGTCAGGACCTGGGCCCCTAGACTGAGTTCCTGTCCTTCTGACAGGCTGAGAAACCGGCAGCCGGTGCGCCCAGACCAGCGGCGCTTCGCGGAGGAGGCAGAGGGCGGGCTGTGCCGGCTGCGGATCCTGGCGGCTGAGCGGGCCGACGCTGGCTTCTACACTTGCAAAGCGGTTAATGAGTATGGCGCCCGGCAGTGTGAGGCCCGCCTGGAGGTCAGAGGTGAGTGCCTCACGCTCTCCATAAAACCCACCCTGCCCGCCGGCCCTGGCCCCCCCCATCCCCAGCCTCTTCCCTGCTCAGATGCCAACTTTCACACAACCTCAGTTAGAGGACGCCAGAACAGAAAGGGCCTTATAAAATCCTGTAATTTGTTGCTTATATTGCAGTTGCGTAAACTGAGGCCCAGAGAGGGGAAGTGACTTGCTCAAGGCCACCTGGCAAGTTGTTCAGTGCTTAGTCTACTATGCAGTACTGCCTTCCCTATGCTTAGTCGCACCTGCTCCCTGATACTAGCCAGAGAGAGACCCTACTTCCTGCCACCAGCTGTCCTCTCCACACACTCTTCCAAGCTTTGGTCACCTTGCCCTTTCCAGGCCTCTCCCTCACAAACCCCCTCCCTGCCCCTTTGCCCTCCTACCCATCCCATTGCTGTGCAGAAGCTATTGTGGTTGGAGGTTGCAGTGGGGAGAGTCTGATAGCTGGACCCGTTCCGAGGGGCCCTTGGGGTGACTTGGGCTTGAAGCATTGCCAGGGACCCCAGGGCTGTGAGGGTGAGCAGGGCCATGGAATGTGGAGAGGCCTGGGCCCCCAGAGTTGGGGCATGAGGGCAGGGGGCCTTTCAGGCAATGGGGATAGCAGGCAGGCCTTAGCCAGGCTGCCCTTGGGGGGCTGGTGGTGTTCCTCCCAAGGGCTGGCTGTCAACCTTGCCTTCTACTCACCTTTCTCTGTGGGCAGCTCTTGGCTGGGAACCCTTCCTTAGTTCTGCACTCAGCCATCATCCCTCCCTTCCTGGTAGGGCGAGCTTCTGGATACCACCAGCCCCTGCTGGAGCTTAGACCCTAACAGTCACCATCACCTTCGCGGGGCCCTCCCTATCTCAGTTACCTGCCCTATGCCTCTTGTTCTTGGAGCTGCCACTCCTTGGTCTCTGAATTCTTCAGCTCTCCCTGCTCCCATTCCCTGGCCAGTTCCTTCCCCTCCAGGGTCTGGCTCTGCCTTGCTTCTCTGTCTTAACCCATGTCTCAGTGCTTCTCTCTCTTTGGGATTCCTCCTGACATCCCCTGGGCTTTGGGTACCCCTGATGCCTTTTCCCTAGTTGCCCACAGCTTCTGCCCACCCAGGAACCCCAGAGAGCTCTGCGGGCTCTGCCCGGCCTCTGGCTGGCTGCCAATCCCCCCATCCCAAGGCCGATCTTGGAGGGAACTGAAAGTGGCAGCGTGCCCTGGCAGTTTTAGAGGCAGGTCTCCACGTAGAGGGGCCCTAGCCAGGTCTGCGTGGTGTGCGTGCCTGTGCGTGCGTGCGTGTGTGCGTGTGCTGCACTAACCTGCCGCTTGCTGACTGAGGTTTTTGTCTGTACACAGGCGAGTGAGCTCAGGGGGCCGACTGCGCTCCCCCCGCTACCCTCCGAGCCGCGCCCCTGTCTCAGGCACCTCTCGGACCTCGCTGTGTTTCACTGCCTCCTGCCCACAGACCCTGCCGGCCCGCCGGCCTGGACCCTGTCCCAGCTTCCCATTCCCTCCCCTCTCCACCTTATGCAGCATCCTGGGGTAGCCCATGGGCCCCTAGGGACCCTTCTTCCCCAAGTGGACATATGGCTGGGCAGCCCCCACATGGACTGAGTGCCAGGAAGGGGCAGCCATGAGGGGTATCAAGACACCCCCCCCAACTTCTCCCTGCAGGGGAGCACCCAGCAAGCGCATGTGCTACCGCTGCTACAGGCCCTGTCTGTCTCTCCGTTTGTCTGTCTGTGTGTCTGTGACAGTCAGGGAAGGATGCCTCTGAGCTGGTGTGGGGTGAGGCAGAGCGGGACAGGCCAGGGCATAGCCTCTGCAGGATGGAGGGGCCTAGGAGGGCAGGAGGCTGTTGACAAGAGGCTCATGAAGTGGGGGGCAGTGCACTGACCATTCCAGAAGTGGGTTTCAAATGGCACAACACTTTCTATTTCACAAGAGACTAAAAGCCAGAGGCCTCAGGCCCTATGCTGATGAGGAGGCCTGACCAAGTCCTGCTCTGGGCAGGTTTAGGGCTCATTTGGGGCTCCCCTTTTCACTGTCAGGGCCTGGGACGCTCTGTCTGGAAATGAGGGTGTTAGCCAGGCTTGGCGAAAGAGTGAGGGCCTGCTGTAATGGGTGTGGAGATATTTGGAAAAAGTTGTTTCTTAGCTCAAATAAAGTCCAGTTTGTACCCAGCTGGTGTGCTGTGTTTTTTTTTTTTTTTTCCGCCGCCGTCTCTGCCCCTACGTGGCCCTCTCAGTTTCCCTGCCCTTGATTCCTTCCCACTTCCCCTGAGTCCACCTTCCCTGGCCCAGCTTGCCATCCTGAAGGCAGGCCCTGGAGTTCCTTGCTGTCCTGGCCGGGTGGGCGGGCTTTCCCTGTCTCCAAAGGAACAAAATGCATCTCTCTCTCTGTATCTGTCTGTCTCTTTGTGTGTGTGCGTGTGTGTGTGTGTGTGTGTGTGTCTCTCCCTCACCCCGTGTGTCTCTATTCCTCGCGTGCCCCCCTGTGGCCGCTTTCCCCCCAGCACATCCTGAAAGCCGGTCCTTGGCCGTGCTGGCCCCCCTGCAGGACGTGGACGTGGGGGCCGGGGAGATGGCGCTGTTTGAGTGCCTGGTGGCAGGTCCTGCTGACGTGGAGGTAGACTGGCTCTGCCGAGGCCGCCTGCTGCAGCCCGCACTGCTCAAATGCAAGATGCATTTCGATGGCCGGAAATGCAAGCTGCTGCTCACGTCTGTGCACGAGGACGACAGTGGTGTCTACACCTGCAAGCTCAGCACGGCCAAAGGTAACTGCCCGCTCAGACCCGAGGGCTGCCATGGGCACCCCAGAGCTGGTGGGAGGGGACCGGAAGTGTAGGAGCTGGGCGCAAAGTAAGATCATGCGGTACACCTGCCTCAACACTCGGAGTAGCGCCTGGCACAGAGGGCCTTCTGTGTCAGTGTCAGCTGCTGTTCCCGTAGAGAACCAGTCTGCTGAGGTGTAGCAGAACCATCCGGACTTGGGTTCCAATTCTGGCCCTGCCACGCACTGCCACGTGACTTCGGACAAGTTACTACATCTCTCTGAGCTTTAGACTATCTGTAAAACGAGATCACGAGACTCGCTATCTTGTAGGGGAATAGGTCAGATTAATGAGATAACATGTGTAAAGAACAAAGTACAGCACAAGGCTGGCAAAGGGTGGCACCTGATAAATGTCACCCATTATTATTATTAATGACATCTCTGACCTGGTCTCTGTCCTCATTGGAAGAGCAGAGATGACACCTCACCAGCTTGTGGTGATGAGCCCCTTAGGTGACGCTGGAAGTCTTTGTAAAGCAGGAAAGGATCCAGTTGGCATAAGGGGCTGTTATTTCCCCCAGAAGATTCCTTGTGGGCTAGCTTCACGGGGTCTGGGATGGGTGGGAGGAGTGGAGGCACAGCCCAGGCCCAGAGGACAGTTCCGAGGGGAGGTGAAAGGTGTGGGGGAGGATCGAGGTTTGGCTTCCAGGCCCCTCTCCTGGAGCTGAGCGGAGCTTCGTCCTGAGTGGGCAGGGGCGGTGACGAGGGGCTCCTGCTGCTTCCCCAACCACCGTGGCAGCCTGCCGCCCACCCTCGCCAACCTCCACCCTCCTGAGAAGGCCAGGTCTTTGGGTCTTGCCTACTACCTCATTCTGGTGTCTGGAGACCTTGCTGGGCTCTGCCCAGGCTCCAGCTCCTGGCCCAGCTCCCCTTTCCTGCCTGGCATATGAGGGCAGGACCTGTGGGTTGGGGTTCCTGGGACTCCGTGGCCTTCCCTGCCCCAGTGCTGACCTCCCCCCCGCCACTAGATGAGCTGACCTGTAGTGCCCGGCTGACGGTGCGGCCCTCATTGGCGCCCCTGTTCACTCGGCTGCTGGAGGACGTGGAGGTGCTGGAGGGCCGGGCGGCCCGCTTCGACTGCAAGATCAGCGGCACTCCGCCCCCTGCCGTTACCTGGACTCATTTTGGTATGGCCCTCCACCCTGCAGATGTTGGGCGCCTCCTGAGGGCCAGAGGGCCGGCTGGGGGGCCCCCACTGAGCCTGCTCTGCATGCCCGCCCCTCCCTCCCCCAGGCCACCAGGTGGAGGAGAGCGAGAACTTGCGGCTGCGGCAGGAAGGAGGTCTGCACTCTCTGCACATCGCTCATGTGGGCAGTGAGGACGAGGGGCTGTACGCCGTCAGCGCTACCAACGCCCACGGCCAGGCCCAGTGCTCGGCCCAGCTCTACGTGGAGGAGCCTCGGACGGCTGCCACCGGCCCCAGGTACCGTGGCGTGCCCGGGGCTCCCAGGGCTGCCTCTGTGTAGCCTCGGCCCGTGGTGGGAGGGGCTGCTCTGGGCATCTGGGCAGCTATGTTGTTCTTACAGCTCAAAGCTGGAGAAGATGCCCTCTATCCCCGAGGAGCCGGAGCAGGGCGAGCTGGAGCGGCTGTCTATGCCCGACTTCCTGCGGCCACTGCAGGACCTGGAGGTGGGACTGGCCAAGGAGGCCATGCTGGAGTGCCAGGTGACCGGCCTGCCCTACCCCACCATCAGCTGGTTCCACAATGGCCACCGCATCCAGAGCAGTGATGACCGGCGCATGACACAGTGTATGTGTCTACGGAGGGACCCTGGGGAGTGTCCCCTCTGGCACCCTCTGCACACACAGTACCTTCACCTTCTCCCTGCCCTTGAGCCTTCCCTTTCTAGCCTGCCCAGGGATGGGGCGCTGCCGGGGAGGGGAGTGCGCAGGCGCTAGGAGGTCATGGCCTCCTTCCTTGAGTTGCACGGCGCCACCTGCTGGATCACCGCTCTGCGCCTGGGGTGGCCCCCTTAACACTTGCTGGACAGGCCCTACAACTTGCTGCTGACCAGCTGCAGGACTGTGGGCAAGGTTACGGAACCTCTCTGTGCCTCAGTTTCCTTATCTATAAAAGCTTGTTATGAGCTTTAAATAAGTTAATACATATAAAGCACTCAGAGCGGGGCCTGGTAAATAGCCAGTGGTCAGTAAATGTTAAAAATATTATTATTGCTATTGTTTTTGTCGTTGCCATTATTATCCTTGTTCATAAAGCAGTGTTGCTCACACCTTCCTGGAGAAATTTCAGTGAAAAGGCCAGTGTGGGCAGCGTCTGGCTCCAAAAGGATGCTTGGCCAGGGTTGTTAACAATACCAAATAAAGAAAAGGAGCCAGGGGAGAAATACAGAGGAACGTATCTGGGACCGTGTCCTTTCCGCCTCAGATATTTCTCTCGGCGGTATCTCATTTCCATCCTGGAAAGGATCTGAGTCTCATGGGAAAAGATTTATCTAACCCCATCAGACAGCCCATGCTGCGACCGTGGAGGGTGCCTCTTACCGCTGCGACATGACAGAACTTATCTTTCTTGAGCACTCTGTGAGTCCCAGGCCCTGAGTGCTGAAGGCCTGACATCATCAAGGGCCTATAAGGCAGGTACTATTATCCCGGTTTGCAGGCAGGGAAACTGAGGCTTACAGAAGGACAGGGACTTGCCCAAAGGCAGAAAAACACCATCTGACCCTGGCACCCACCTCCTAACCAGGATGCCCCCTGTCACCTGTGCCCCACTCCCCTACCCCACTGTCCAGTGCCATCACTGTGGCTGTGACCCTTGTCCTCACAGCCCCCTCCTCGGGCTGTCTGTTCAGCCCACAGGCTTCCTGTCTCTCATTCTGCTTGAGGCCCCGGTGGGTGTCTCTTGGGATCTGAGCTGGCATCTCAGCCTCTGTCTGTATCTGGGGTCAGCGGCAGCCCTTGGTCTCTCTTCCTTTATAAATAGTGTCAGCAGAGATAAATGAATGGGTGAGTGTTTCACGTGGCGATAACCACTAAGAGAGGGGAGGGGTGTTTGGGGATGGCCTTGACGTGAAGGAGGATAGTGCAGGCCTCTTCCCCTTCACACCCCCGCCTGAGATGGCCTCCTTATCATCATTCAGGGATCACAGTGTAGAAAAGGAGGATCAGAATCAGAGGGAAGCAACTTCAAGCCATGGTTCCATCACTCATTAGCTGGGTCACCTTGGACAAGTCCATTAATGTCTCTGATCTCATTGGTAAAATGAGCATCATCTTGCAGGGTTGTTGAAAGGATTATGGAAAAAAGTACATGTCAAGTAGCTGGCATAGACTGGGCACAGAACAGACAACTCTTATTATAATTTATAATCTAACATCTTTGGCACTTACTGTGTGTAAGGCGTCGGGTACTGGGCCTGACAGGACAAGTTAGCCCTGTCTTTAAGGAGCCACGACACATGTAAGTAAAGAGGAGGAACTACCCACAGCAGTGCCGGGCACCCCGGGGAGGGAGTCAGGGATGGGGGTACAGAGAAGGCTTCCCAGGCTGGCATTCACTTGATCTGTGTCTTGAAGGAGAAGGCCTTAAGTAAGGGAAGAGTATTCCAGAAGGGAGGAATTTCGTGAGCAAAAACCTGGAGATGGAACTCCTGGGGCTTGTTCAGGGACCTGATGGCTTGTCAGGGTTGGAGGAAGAGAGGGAGACATGGCCGGGTGGGTGTTTGGGCTGAGGGCTTTGGATGCTAGTAGGTACGTTGAGTGCGGTAGGTGCCGTCAAGGTTTCCAGGTCGGGAGGTAGCATGCAATGCCATTGGTAGAGTGTGGACTGTGCCAGTGGAGGGCTTTTTTGGGTGCCGTGCTGCAGACGGGACCAGCAGTGGCCATGCGGGATGAAGAGGGGACTGAGGGAGGGGCCCTAGGAATGAAACCTGTCAGCACTTTGATGCCCAGGTGTGACCGCCAGAGGTGCAGAAATGAAGGGTAGTTAGCGGGGTAGGAACTCACAGAGGGTGAATCAGTGTGGGAGAAAGATGAGAAGTCACTGGAGGGACAGCCAAGAGGGGCTAGGGCTGCAGGCGTAGGCTTGGCAGCCTGGACTTCGGGTTTGCTGCAGGGTGGACGTGCTTCTTGCTGTCCGCCCCCCTCTTGCCCCCTCGCTGCTCCCTCAGTGGGTGAGGGTAAAGGGCCAGGCCTGTGGTGGCATGGGTCCGGCCCTCCAAACCTCCTCACTCAGGCTCAGTGTCATTGTCTCCCTGCCCACCCCCCAGACAGGGATGTCCACCGCTTGGTGTTCCCTGCTGTGGGACCTCAACATGCCGGCGTCTACAAGAGTGTCATCGCCAACAAGCTGGGCAAAGCTGCGTGCTATGCCCACCTCTATGTCACAGGTAAGGCAGGCACTTTCTCGGTCAGCTGGCTTCTGCCTACACAGAGGCCTAGGTGAGGGAGGGGCCTCCCTTCCCTTTATGCCCTTTGGAGCCACTTGGCCTTGCCCTTGGCCCTGTGGCTGTGCCTCTGGTCTCCATCCCACTGTCCTGAGGCTTGGTGATCCTGCGGAGCCATTGGGCCCTAAAAGACCCAGCAGACCTCTGACCTCTGGCTTTCAGATGTGGTTCCAGGCCCCCCAGATGGCGCCCCGCAGGTGGTGGCTGTGACTGGGAAGATGATCACGCTCACATGGAACCCCCCCAGGAGTCTGGACATGGCTATTGGTGGGTCAGGCTGCACAGGGCTGTGGGGTGGGGATGGAATGTGGGCAGAGGCACCCAGGCAGGGGCACCCAGGGAGCCAGGATGGGGAGGCAGGACCCAGAGAGGTGTACCAGTGGAGGGTAGGACAGAGCAGGGGACTCGGAACATGGCCAGGAGCTGCTATGCCTGTCTCCTCTCCAAGGTGGATAAAGCCCTGGGTCCGCATCAGGGGAGGCCACAAAGGGGGCCTCCACATTCCCTTTCTCAGAGGGACTGGGTGTTTGGGTCACGATCCTGGGAATAGCCTCCCCTTCCCTGTGCATATGACTTCTCCCTGCTCTGTACCTCAGTTTCTCCATCTCAGGTTGTAGCAAGAAATTGGGATATGAGTTAAACTCCCTCCATGCCTACAACTGGACCCCATGCCTGGCACCTGGTTGGCCCTGAGCATGGCTGGCCAGGGTGGAAAGAGCAGATGGGAGGTAGGCAGAAGCAACAGGAGAAACTGAGGCAGGTCCTTAGAGCAGACTAATGATGAGTTTCTGGGTCCTGAGCCAGCTGAATGGGGGTGGGGGGACAGGGGGTGTCCCAGCAATGCCCACCTCTAGCAGCTACTTCCCCACTAGACCCAGACGCCCTGACCTACACCGTGCAGCACCAGGTTCTGGGCTCAGACCAGTGGACAGTGCTGGCCACGGGCCTGCGGGAGCCCGGGTGGGCAGCCATGGGGCTGCGTAAGGGGGTCCAGCACATCTTCCGGGTCCTCAGCACCACCATCAAGAGCAGCAGCAAGCCCTCACCCCCCTCTGAGCCTGTGCAGCTGCTGGAGCACGGTGAGCCTGGGTACTTCTATGGGGGTGGGGGTGGTTGGGGCTGCTGGGCCAGGGAACTGGGTCTTCGTGGTGGAGGCTCAAGGGCTGATCTAGACATTCTAGCTATGGTGGGAATAGCACGGCTGGGGGCAACCTTGACCAGTCCGAGCACGTTTTCCTCCTGAAAGCTGCATGCACAGTGGGCAAGGCTGAGGCTCTGGAGTCAGACAAGCTCGGGGCAAATTCCCCACTCTGCTACTTCCTGGCTATGTGCCCTAGACAGATAGCTGAACCTCTCTGAACCTCAGCTTCCTCATCTGTAAACACGGAGCTCCCATGGTGGTTGGCGGGTGGTTAAGAGCATACAGGACACTAAGGACCTGGTATTAAGCCCAGCACCAGCTCGTGCTCTTCTCCGTCCAGGCCCACCACTCGAGGAGGCGCCCGCTGTGTTGGACAAGCCGGACATCGTGTATGTGGTGGAGGGACAGCCCACCAGTGTCACGGTCACCTTCAACCATGTGGAGGCCCAGGTCGTCTGGAGAAGGTGGGGCCCTGCCTTGCATGCCTCATTCCCCACATGTGGCCGTCCAGCTCTGGCCATCCTGGCCTGACCCCCACCCTGTGCCCGGATGCTGGGTGACCTCCCTGTCGTGTCTCTTAGCTGCCGAGGGGCTCTCCTAGAGGCACGGGCAGGTGTGTACGAGCTGAGCCAGCCGGATGATGACCAGTACTGTCTTCGCATCTGCCGGGTGAGCCGCCGAGACGTGGGGCCCCTCACCTGCACTGCCCGCAACCGCCACGGCACACAGGCCTGCTCAGTCACCCTGGAGCTGGCAGGTGGGTGACAGGATGCTTCCTTCCCTTCCCTCCCTGTCAGGCCCATGGTCCTTGCCTTATGCCCCCAGGTGCATATACCCTCCTGTCAGGCCTGGCCATCTAATGGCTGTAATAATACGAATGCTAGTAGAAATAACAGTGATAGTACGAATAAGATATTTATTGAGCACCTAGTATGTGCCAGGCTCAGTGCCAGATACCTTCCGTGTATCACCTCATGGAATATTTACGTTAGCCCTGCGATATGGGACTGGTTATTATCCTCATTTGACAGATGGGAAAACTGAGGCTTGGAGAGTATGCTAAGTAACAGGCCCAAGGTCACACAACTTGATAAGGACAGGAGCTGGGATTCAAGCCTGGATGCCCAACGCCAGGGCCAACTCCTGGCTCCCGTGTTAAACACAACAGGAAATAGCACCTCAAATGTAACAAGTGTAAGGGGACCAAGTTTAATTTCAAAAAGAAAAAAGCCCAAGCGAGCACATTTGATTAGCAGACTCTCAGCTCTGGGGACCCTGGCTGCCCTTTTGCACTGGTCTATTTGACAGACCCTGCCAGCCTTTGCAGTGAGGACCCTTTTTATAATTTCTCCTTTAAAGATGTAGGCTCTCAACCGGTGGCATGCGTTAAGTAGTAATTGTCTTGTTTTCCGGTTTGTTAATTAACTCTAGGCATATGTACCCGCCACTCAGAACTTCAGATCAGCATGAGCTAAACAGTGTTACCTGCTGAGTAGATACAATTCCAACCAAAGGCAAAGAAAGTGACATTTTAGTTAGCACAGGCAATCATATCTGGATAAATGTACATTTGCTGGTGCTTTAAAAAAATTGTTCAAGTTCACTTGAAACCTTCCAGTCCTTTGACCTTCACGGAATAACCCCCCACCACCTCTGGACGAGAAACCAGATTCCCCGAGGGGTGGGAAGGGATCTTGAGCGTGGAAGAGAAGTGGCCGTAGGGTGTGTGAGGAAGAAGTGAGGGAGCCCTGCTGGCCCTGATATGGATGGGGGATGGGCACCGATCATCTGGGTCCCCGTGTCCCTTTTTTGTGTTTCCTCCCGCTTGCCAACTTCTCCACCGCCCCCCCCGCCCCAACACTTCCTACTCAGCTGCCACTTTGCTCCTTGAGCGTACCATCTATAGGGCTCATTTTTCTTCCCAGATAGAGGAAGAGCCTTAGGGTTTGGGAAGCCCTGGCCACTGAGAGCCCTGCAGCCCAGCAAGGCTGGGACAGTGACTGTGTTCCAGTTAGCTGGGACTAGAACAGGCCTGGGGCTTGGATCTTCATGCCCCTCCCACTGTGCCCACCACCCCCCAGCCCCCAGGCAGGGCAAGTGGAATTGCCTCCTTCCTCCATATCTGCCCCACGGTAGGGTCTTATTCACTCCCAGGGTGCCCCCCTTTTATCTCTACAAAGTCAGACTGGGTGCCTGTGATGGGTGGTGGTCCCTGCCCTGTGCCCCTGTTCTTCCCTCAGGGCCTGCTCACTCCCACTCCTCTTAAAGCTGAGACCCTCAAACATGCTCAGGAGGTGGGGCACTGGCAAGTCACAGGTTCCTCTGTGAAGCACGCTAGAATAGGTATTTAATTCCATTCCAAGAATTAGAAGCCACTCTGCCAGGAAATAACATGACCGCATGATATGCGTAGAGAATGAAATCACTGTCACATGTGGGAGAGCAAAGCTGAGGATTGGTATCTGTTTGTTCATCTTGTCATCTCCCAGATGGCAAAAGGCCCCTTTAAACATTTAAACAAGATTTAGAGAGAAAACGTCAAGATACGGGCAATGCCATCCGCAAATTTAATTCAGGGTCACAGCCTGAGCTGCCTTCCGGGGCCCAGGACAGTAAAGCCCGAGGTAGGGCTGTGCAGAAGGGCGGTCACCCACAGGGGGCAGCATCGAGCCACTCTGCGCCAGCCCATTAATGCAGTGAGGGAAGAGGCTCACTCAGCATGGCCAATCCTGATTTTTTCAAGAGAGGCAGGAAATCCAGATTTCTTTTGTGTGTCAAAATCTCCTAGTTTCAGAGCTGGCAAATGAACACTGAGGGTCCAGCAAAGCAAGGCTGCACCCTCTGGCTTAGGTTTTCTGGGATTTGTAGAACATCACATATGGATTTACAGGCAAGGAACTCTGGTGTTCCCAGGGGCCGAGTTTGAGACCCCGGTGGGTGGGGTGCTGGGGTGTAGGGGCTTCTGGTGTTCTGCCTGAGCCTGTCACTGAGGGAGGGAGGGCTTGGAGAGGGACTGAAAAGGCACGCCCTCGTGATCTCAGTGTTGTCACCTTCCCTTCCTCACCCCACCCCTGTGTATTTCAGAGGCCCCTCGATTTGAGTCCATCATGGAGGACGTGGAGGTCGGGGCTGGGGAAACCGCACGCTTTGCTGTAGTGGTTGAGGGGAAACCACTGCCAGACATCATGTGGTACAAGGTCAGAGGGTGACAGAGGCCTCAGGGAGTCCTAGCATGGGGCTGGCTGGGAGCCTGAGGGTGAGGGAGGAGGGATTTCTGGACAGGAGGGGTCTTGGCAACATTAGGAGGAGGGGAGCCTGGACAGAGAAGAACAAAGGTGCTGCCAGAGGTGTGGCTAGGAGAAGAAAATGGGACCCAGGGTGCCGTGTGACAATCGTGGGTGTTTCAGGAACCAGGGGACTAACTGGGTGGTGCAGGGCTATTACTGGGAAATAAAGTGGAGCCAGTTTCGGGTGCTGAAGGGAGCAAGGCCCCTGGGGCAGCGATAATATCGAGCCGTGGGGTAGGAGTGTTCCTGGCACTTGAGGTAGGGCTGAGACTGGGTCTCAGTCATGGAGATAAAGGTGGGTCCCAGGTAGAGGTAAAGCCAGGCCTGGGCTGGAGGTGACGGCCAACTCTGCAGGACGAGGTGCTGCTGACCGAGAGTAGCCATGTGAGCTTCGTGTATGAAGAGAGCGAGTGCTCCCTGGTGGTGCTCAGCACAGGGACCCAGGATGGAGGCGTCTATACCTGCACTGCACGGAACCTGGCTGGCGAAGTCTCCTGCAAAGCAGAGTTGGCTGTGCGTTCAGGTGGGCTGGAGTGCGAAGGGAGAAAGGCAGAATGCTTGTTCTCGGGAATGCCATGTGAGCCCCCAGCCAGGAACCACTCACCAGGCTCTTCCCTCTTAAACCACCACTATCTTCCAGCGCCGGCACCCCACGTCGGGCCCCCAACATTCCTGGTCCTCTTTTGTCTCCTTCATCTGCCTTGCCTGTACCGGTCTCTGCCCTCGTTACTCTCTTGCCTTCCCCCACCTAACACCAGGCATCTCTTCCCCAGCCCAGACAGCCATGGAAGTAGAGGGGGCCGGGGAGGCCGAGGAACAGCGAGGAAGGAGACTCAGCGACTTCTATGACATCCATCAAGAGATCGGCAGGTGTGGGGCCGGGAGAGAGTGCCAAGCCTGGGAGCCAAGGGCGCCTGGGTCTGAGGCTAGGAGGCCTTGGAGAGCCAGGGCTACCTCGATGACGGAGCCCCTCACCTCCCTGTGTCGTCACCCAGGGGTGCCTTCTCCTACCTGCGGCGCGTGGTGGAGCGAAGCTCTGGCCTGGAGTTTGCAGCCAAGTTCATCCCCAGCCAGGCCAAGCCAAAGGCATCAGCATGGCGGGAAGCCCGGCTGCTGGCCCGGCTCCAGCACGACTGCGTCCTCTACTTCCATGAGGCCTTTGAGAGGCGTCGGGGACTGGTCATTGTCACCGAGCTGTATCCTGGGATAGGCTGGGCGGGTAGGGGACACGTGGCCAATTAGCAACATGTTTTATACTTTACAAAGTGGTCCCATTGACCTTTAGGAGGTGCTGACCACCTATTAGGAAATGTTCCCATCGATGATTGGGAGTTCTGAAGACATCTTGTCAGAACTTTACAGAGTAGAGTCTGGAGACTTCTGCAAAAAAACAACACTTTTTAGCTCCCCCACCCCTGTCTTTTTAAATTTTTTTTTTTTAATGTTTATTCTTGAGAGAGAGAGAGAGACAGAGACAGAGGATGAGCGGGGGAGGGGCAGAGAGAGAGAGGGGCACAGAATCTGAAGCAGGCTCCAGGCTCTGAGCTGTCAGCACACAGCCTGATGCGGGGCTTGAACTCTTGAACTGAGAGATCATGACCTGTGCCGAAGTCAGACTCTCAACCATCCGAGCCACCCAGGCACCCCTTTTAGCTTAAATTTACATAGCATTTAGTGGGTGCCTGGCAGTGCTCCTAAGTTTTGCCAATATTAACCTATTTAATCCTCGTGTATACCTATGTCATGGAATTTTTTTATCCCCATTTTACAGATGATAAAACTGAAGTACAGAGAGATTAAGTAACTCATCCAAGGTCACATGGCTAACAAAAGACGTGTACATGAAATACAGTACAATATATCGAAGTGGATCCAATATATCCACTTTCGAAGTGACCCCATTTCAGATGAGCATCAGGACTGGTTTTATTTGAAAGGTTGTTTTCATGAAGAATAGATTTTGCCCTTCCATGAGAGCTCTGTTTAAACAGAGGCACACTGTGATAAGGTGGTCAGCTTGTCTCTCCCATTAGCTGGGTGACCATATCCTTCACACCAGCCTTCCAGTCTACACTTTAAGAGCCCAAACCTCAGAAAAATGACCATTTGTTAAATGTCACAGGTCATTCTCAAAAAGAGGCAAGAAGTTCCATCCATGGTCCACAAAATTCTGCTCTAACTTGGCCTTTTTAAATAGGTAACGAAAGGGTATGAGTGAAGATGTCATCCCCATTCTCCACCCAAGGGAACCTAGGCTCAGAGAGGTTGGGTGACTTGCCTGAGACCCCACAGCAAATGAGAGTTCAAGCAGGGTGGTCCCATCTATGCACCCAGATGATAGGGAAAGGGTGGAAACACAGAACTAGTATTACATATGTTTTAAGGGGAAGGAGAACTCTGTGCAGAGCCAGGATCTGACTTGAGCTCTAGGGGTAGAGGGCACTGCCCGGGGAGGGCCCAGGAGTTGGCCCTACTGTCACTGTTCTCCTTGATCTGGGACATAGATGCACAGAGGAGCTGCTGGAGCGAATGGCCAGGAAACCCACCGTGTGTGAGTCTGAGGTGAGGGCAGTGGGTGGTAAGGGTCAGGTTGGGCACCCGTGGTTACCCACCTGAGCTCTGAGAATTGAGGGGTGGGTCCTGGGCATGCCGTCCATGCCCATGAATAGGCCAGGGGTGGTGGTGGAGAGGACTGTTAGGCAGGCAGGACCAGACTTCCCACGCTGGGACTTGCACAGTCCTCTGTAAATCTCAGTAGGCCCACTGGCCCCTACCTGTGTTGTTTCCCAGTCTTCCCCCCATAAACATTCCTCAGATATTTCTCTCGGGAGGCACCCCACCTCAACTCTATTTAGTCTCACTGCTGTCCCGCCATGGAGGGCTGTACAAATTGTACACTGCACAGTTCTACTTATTATAATGTAAATGGCTCGCTCCTATATTTGTGCTGTGCCCAACCTATACAGTTGTACTTGGAGGCCCCAGATCTCAGAAACCCCAAACCTATGTTTCAGCTACCTCCACCAGCCGGCCATCTGAAGGCCACTTCTCAGGCATGGCCTGATCTCTTGCCACAGCCCTGGTGGTGAGCAAACCTAATACCCCACCCTTGCCCCCGCGGACTTTGGGCCTCCTGTTTCCACAGATCAGGGCCTACATGCAACAAGTGCTCGAGGGAATATGCTACCTGCACCAGAACCATGTGCTGCACTTGGATGTCAAGGTGAGGTGCAGGCGGGGGTGGGGAGCAGGCAGCCCCCGTGGGAGGCAGGCAGTGGGGCATCCCCCCCTCTTCACTCAGCTCCCATGCCTTCCCTTGTGTTCTGCAGCCTGAGAACCTGATGGTGTGGGATGGCGCAGAGGGTGAGGAGCAGGTGAGGATCTGTGACTTTGGGAATGCCCAGGAACTGACTCCAGGAGAGCCCCAGTACTGCCAATACGGCACACCTGAGTTCGTGGCACCTGAGATTGTCAATCAGACCCCCGTGTCTGGAGTCACTGACATCTGGTAATGCTGGCATACTGGGCCACGGGTGGGCCAGGGCCTCTTCCCTCAGTGCCGTGCTGGGGTCTTGCTCGCTGGCAGAGAGGAGCCTCACTAAGCCCAGATTCCTCCTCTGACAGTAGGTCTATTGACCATGTTTCTACCTGCCCCTCATCAGTCAGAGTTGACCCAGTCACTCAAGGCCTTAGCCCTCCCTGTCCATCCTTGGCTCCTGATCTCCCCTAGGTGCGGGGACTAGGGCCATCTTGGCCATCTTGCCTCCCCCTCTGTGGCCATCTTGCCCCCTCTGTGGCCATCTTGCCTCCCCGCAGTGAGGGAGGGCAGCTCTTTGGCTCCCAGAGTCCTCTGTGCTTCCTGGGCTGGCCCTGCCATGACCCTTGACTCCTCCAGGGACCTTGAGACCTCTGGGTTGAGAGGCCTCCTGGAAGGAGGCATCCCTGTGCCCATTTGTCCCAGTGAGGACACTCCTCACTAGATTAGCGGTAGCAGAAAACCGCTCACTGCTGGTGGGAGGCGGGCTGTCCACTTACCCCTCGATTACTCTCTTTTCCCCACAGGCCTGTGGGCGTTGTTGCCTTCCTCTGGTAAGGACCCCTCTACACCCAGTTTCCAATGGTCTCCTAGCAGGCCCACCCCTAACATTTGCAGAGCCTGGGGCAGGAGAGCAGTTTAGGGCCTGCAGCCCACCCCTTCTCTTTCTCCCCCCTGCAATGTCAGGGGCCTCACGTGCATGAATGTGGATGCCTCGGGCTGCGAGTCTAAGCTCTGTCTGCCACCACGCTCCTCCGTGAAGGGCGGTCATGCTAGCAGCATGCTTGGGAGGCTGGACAGAGAGAGGCCCGTGCAGGCTCAGTGCCATCTAGGCAGGGTATTATAAGGCCCTGAGTGTTCAGAACAGGCACTAGAAGAAAGAGGCTCAGGCTCAGGGCGGCATATCCCCTGGGCACAGACTCTTCACCTCAGGAACAGGCCGTGGCTGGAGGAGGGACAAAATAGGTCCTCTAAAGCATGGGTGCAGGGCCCAGCTGGGTGCTCAGGTCTCAAAGCAGTACTGCCTCCTCACCTATTTGGCAGTGGGGGGTGGCGGCAGGACAGGCAAGAGTCTGAAAGACTGCCCTCTGTTCGGATTCACCCTGCCTCTGCCTTCCCCAGAGCCCCAGGGCCTCCACCTGTCCCCAGCCCCATGTCCCCACTGGCATCCCTCATAGTCTCTGCCTCAGCCCAGGGCCCCGCCCACCTCTCATGCTGGCCCTCTCTGCCTCTGCAGTCTGACGGGAATCTCCCCATTTGTTGGGGAAAACGATCGGACGACATTGATGAACATTCGAAATTACAACGTGGCCTTCGAGGAGACCACATTTCTGAGCCTGAGCAGGGAGGCCCGGGGCTTCCTCATCAAAGTGCTGGTGCGGGACCGGCTGTGAGTACAGGGTCCTGAGGAGCCCCCCACCCCTCAGAGTCCCCTCATGCCACCCCCCACTCCTGACCCAGGCTCTGCCCTTAGATGTTCAGTCTCTCAACTCCTTACAGGCCCTGTTTGCCCATGTGTTGACTGGCTCTCTGAATGAGTGATGGACCCCTTCTTAACCTTCATTCCTTTACAGGAGGCCTACCGCAGAGGAGACCCTAGAACATCCTTGGTTCAAAGTGAGTCTCTTGCAAAGTTGTGGTAGAAGAGGTGGGGGGAGAGAACATTATTAACAGCTCCATTTATTGAGTACCTACTGTGTGCAGTATAGTCTGCGAGAGGCAATTTATAACCATATGGTCTGTTAGCCTCACAATAGCTCTGCATGGAAAGACATTGTTACTCCTGTTTTGCTAATAAGCAAAGTCATCAGGGTTTTCCCTGGCTCTCAAGACCAGCCCTGGTCCTCCTCACTCCTGTGTGTCTGCCTCTGTCCTGCACTGCGGTTGGTGGGTGGCCCGGCTAGACCGGTCTCTTGGTTTTGAGCCCTGTGTGGCCAGAACTCTCACTCATTCATCTTCAAACCCCAGCACCACAGGGCAGAGGGGTGGAGTTCAGCATATGACCCAGAAAGAGTGACTGAATAAACCATCCATTGAGTCTTATGCTGGGTCAACTGAAGGTTGAGGTCATTCTGGTATCCGTCCTTGGATTATGAGCCTTGTCTCTCAGATCATAAATGAGCTCTTTTCAGACACCTGGGTGGGAGACTGAGGGAAATATCTGTCTCCGTCTGGCCCACCAAAGCTCCAGATGTCTGGGACGCCGGCTCTGCGTGAGACAGGTGGTGAGCTGGGGAGTGGAGCCCAGGCCAGGGGCCCAAGTGCAGGCTCCTGAGGGCAGCCAATGTGCCAAGACGGTGTAAGAGCCCTGGTGTAAGCCCCAAACCCACACGAAGAGCCACTGACTTTCTGCCCTTCCACTTAGGTTCAGGGATTTTGTCATTCATAGGCACCTTGGCTGTGGGAGTTGTGACAGATCTAAGGGGAAGGGACCCCTAGGAACCCAGACTCAATGCTGCCCAGTCCACTGTCCCCTGCTGTGGACTTTGTCTCTCTGTTGCCAAACCTTGAGGGTCTAGGTTGGCAGAGGACTTTTTCTCAGGCCCTCTTTCCTGGGTTTGCAGACACAGGCCAAGGGCGCAGAGGTGAGCACGGATCATCTAAAGCTGTTCCTCTCCAGGCGGAGGTGGCAGGTGAGTTTGCCTGGGCCCTGCCTCTGTGCCTTCCACCTTTTCGCTCCGCAGTTTTTCTCTTGAACCCTGCCTTTTTTCTATCACGTGCCCTCGCTCCCCACTCGTCTGTCTTCATCTACTTTTTATTCTCTCAACCCCCAGTTTCACTCCCGTTCCCCAACCCTCCGCCTGCCTGGGGTCTTCTCCCCTGGGGCTGAGGTGGGCTTGAGTGGGTCAGTCTGGCCTCAGGGGTCCCTCTCAGGTCTGACTCCAGTACCTTGTCTCCAGCGCTCCCAGATCAGCTACAAGTGCCACCTGGTGCTGCGCCCCATCCCTGAGCTGCTGCGGGCACCCCCAGAGCGGGTGTGGGTAGCCATACCCAGAAGACCACCCCCCAGTGGGGGGCTCTCATCTTCCTCTGACTCTGAGGAGGAAGAGCTGGAGGAGCTGCCCTCAGTGCCCCGGCCACTGCAGCCTGAGTTCTCGGGTTCCCGGGTGTCCCTCACCGACATTCCCACTGAGGATGAGGCCCTGGGCGCCCCAGAGGCTGGCATGGCCACCCCCATGGACTGGCAGGAGGAGGGAAGGGCCCCCTCTCAGGACCAGGAGGCCCCCAGCTCTCAGGCCCTCCCCTCCCCAGGCCAGGAGCCCCAAGCTGGGTCCAGCCCCCAGCGGAGAGAGCTCCGGAGGGGCACCTCTGCCGAGAGTGCCCTGCCCCGGGCCGGGCCGAGGGAGCCGGGCCGGGGCCTGCACAAGGCAGCCTCTGTGGAGCTGCCGCAGCGCCGAAGCCCCAGCCCGGGCGCCACCCGCCTGACCCGGGGAGGCCTGGGTGAGGGTGAGTATGCCCAGAGGCTGCAGGCCCTGCGCCAGCGGCTGTTGCGGGGAGGCCCTGAGGATGGCAAGGTCAGTGGCCTCAGGGGCCCCCTGCTAGAGAGCCTGGGGGACCGTGCCCGGGATCCCCGGCTGGCACGGGCTGCCTCCAGTGAGGCAGCCCCTCGACACCAGCCCCCACCTGAGACCCGGGGCCTGCAGAAGAGCAGCAGCTTCTCACAGGGAGAGGCGGAGCCCCGGGGCAGGCACCGCCGTGCTGGGGCGCCCCTCGAGATCCCCGTGGCCAGGCTTGGGGCCCGCAGGCTACAGGAGTCTCCCTCCTTGTCTGCCCTCAGTGAGGCCCAACCACCCAGCCCTGCGAGGCCCAGCGCCCCCAAATCCAGTGTCCCCAAGTCTTTGAAACCTCCTACCACCACACCCAGTGATGCCCCGCAGCCCTTGGCACCCCAGCCTGCCCAAGAGAAGGCCCCAGAGTCCACGCTGGAGCCGGTCCCAGCCCCCAAGCCCACACAGCCCTCTGTGACTCCGCAAACCCCAGTGGCCCCCCTCACACCTTATGCCCAGATCATGCAGTCGCTCCAGCTGTCAGGTCACACGACGGGCCCCCTGCAGAGCCCTGGGGCATCTCCATCAGAGCCCAGACCCCACCCTGCTGTGTTTGCCCGGGTGGCCTCCCCACCTCCGGGAGCCTCCGAGAAGCGCGTGCCTTCAGCCGGGTTGCCCCCAGTGCTAGCCGAGAAAGCCCGGGTACCCACAGTGCCCCGCAGGCCAGGTAGCAGTCTCAGTAGCAGCATCGAGAACCTAGAGTCAGAGGCTGTATTCGAGGCCAAGTTCAAGCGCAGCCGTGAGTCGCCCCTGTCGCGGGGGCTGCGATTGCTGAGCCGCTCGCGCTCAGAGGAACGCGGCCCCTTTCGCGGGGCCCAGGAGGAGGACGGCATGTACCGGCCCAGCCCGGCAGGAACGCCACTGGAGCTGGTGCGACGGCCGGAGCGTTCCCGCTCCGTGCAAGACCTCAGGGCGGTCGGGGAGCCGGGCCTCGTCCGCCGCCTCTCGCTGTCGCTGTCCCAGCGTCTGCGGCGGACCCCGCCCGCGCAGCGCCACCCAGCCTGGGAGGCCCGCGGTGGGGACGGGGAGAGCTCGGAGGGCGGCAGCTCGGCGCGGGGCTCCCCGGTGCTGGCCGTGCGCAGGAGGCTCAGCTCCACGCTCGAGCGGCTGTCCAGCCGGTTGCAGCGCAGCGGCAGCAGCGAGGACTCAGGGGGCGCATCGGGTCGCAGCACGCCGCTGTTTGGACGGCTGCGCAGGGCCACGTCGGAGGGCGAGAGTCTGCGGCGCCTCGGCCTCGCACACAACCAGCTGGCGGCCCAGGCCGGCGCCAGCACGCCCTCCGCAGAGTCCCTGGGCTCCGAGGCCAGCGCTACGTCCGGCTCCTCGGGTGAGGGACAGGGGCAGAGTGGCCGGTAAATGTGTGAACACGTGCGGGTGGGGGGTGGGGTGGAGCTGTGATGACAGGTGCAGAGCCCGGAAGAGGGTGGGAGGGCTGGAAGGAGGCTCTGGGAGGAGGAGCTGGAGGTCCTGGAGAGGGGGCTGAGGCTGGTTTGGGAGCAAGCTGCGGTGGGGGCTAGAAGTTCTCTACTTCCCTGGGCTGAGGGCCTCAGGGAGGTGGGAGCTTTCTGGCACTGGTTGGGCCAGGGCTTATGGGCCTGGGTCTTCACAGCTCCTGGGGAAAGCCGGAGGCGGCTTCGCTGGGGCTTCTCTCGGCTGCGAAAGGACAAGGGGTTATCACAGCCAAACCTCTCTGCCACTGCCCAGGAGGATTTGGGTCACCAGTATGTGCGCAGTGAATCAGGTAATAGAGGCCTGCTGGGTGAGTAGCCCCCTCCCTGCCTCAGGAGCGGTCCTTGAGGACGCTGGGCAGTAGTGGAAGGGACCCAGAGTGGGGAAAACAACGATAATAATAGCATTAACTGATCCTGTTGACTAGTAATGCTGAGTGTCCTAGTAAGTGCTTTACAAGCGCTGCCTCATCTAACCTTCCCACGTTGTTTAGGAACTGTTCTTATCATCATCCCTATTTTATGGGTGAGGAAACAGGTTTAGCCATGCTAGCCGAGAGTTGGACTGCACGGTCCTCTGTAGCCAGAACCCAGAGGTGGCTTTGGGACACCGTACGTATGCCTCTCTTTGGCTAGCCTCCCCCTCCAAATGTGTGTACGTACAAAGACATTCTTTCTCTCCCAGCCCAGCGGCCCACAATCTGGACTGTGCCCCCAATTCTCTACTCCTCCAGAGCCCTGAACACCCTCGCTGCCCCTTCCTGTCCTCCCTGCCCCCACAGAAGGCACTTGTGTGGGGACAAGCAGTCTTCAGGGCTCTTTGCTGAGGGGTGGGGGACTCGGCATATGCCCTGGTCTGTTTCTCTGCCCAAGTATCCTGGGGCTGCAGGGAGAGAGGTATTCTCCACCTGGGGTCACCCCAGTTCCCCACCAGAAAAGGGCTCATTCTTCAAGGACCACAGGCAAAGCCTTTTGTGGGGAGGGCAGCTTTTCCAGACCAGCACGCAGAAAAGAGCAGGCCCACCAAGCCCGGCTGTGTGCGGGATCTTTATCAGTCACCGCTCCGATCTTCCCCAGTTTCCTGATAAAACTCCTCAGCACCGTTCCAGCCATGCCTCCGCTGGACGCAGGGTGACTGTGTCCATCTTTGGCCAGGGGAGCTGGGGTGTCTTTCTTAAGGCAGCAGGGCCTATAGTGAGCAAAGGGGAGGGAAGGAGGCCAGCCGGTGGGGGCAGGGGTGGAAGAGGCAGGGAAAGAGAGATAAGCCAGCATCGAGGCCCAGGGACAGCTGATTCCTTCCCACTGGGGCTTCTCTCCCAGCTGCATTTTGCTTGTGCAGCTGATTTTCTGCCGAGGCAGTGTCCCCTTACCTCATCCTCTGCCCCCTCCCTGCAGGAAGAAGGCTGTCCCCCGTCCACTTTACCAACTAGGGCTGGCCTCTGCGGGAATGGAGGTGGGGCTGGCAGAGCTGAGCTGGGGTCACCTTTCACCTCTCCTCCTGGCCCCCCTCCCTCTCCCCTCTCCCCAGTACCCTCACTTGGCCTGGAGGTGGCCACCGATGAAACTATATTTACTTTGCATTGTTGGCGCCTCGGTGTGGGACCCCTCCTAGGGAACACTGGGGTATAGTGGGAAAGGAGGGGTCATGCTTGCTTTCCTGATATCCACTCTGGCTGATCATCCCTCCCCTACGCAGCTCATCCCCACCTCTGCTCCCTCCTGGTTCTTTAGACAGGCAGCAGCTGGGGCTCCTAGGGGTATCGACCCCTCAGCTCTCTTCCCACATGAAAAGTATACCCCATACCCCACCCTGCATTGGTCTCGACCAGATTGGGATTTTTCTAAAGAGACTTTCCAGGGAGCAGGAATGCAAATCCTCAGGACACCAAGGAGCTACAGGCAGGCTGTACAACAGCAAAGACCTTGACCCATCCACAGCCCAGGCTTGGACACACTCACCAGCCAGCTATGAAGCCAGCTTTGCTGAAACAGCCTATTTCTCTGGGGGTCTGGCCTTAGCTCCTCTACTGGGCATATCAACAGGATAGTAATCCTGACAACAATAAAAGCTAACATTTGTGAGCACTTATTACATGTTAGATACATGCTAAGCACTTTCCATACCTCTTTTAATTCTCGCAGCCTAGGAGCTTTGTGTTAGGATTTTCCTCAATTTACAGACAAAACATGGTCCAAGGTCATACAGATACTGTCTCTTGTCCCTGCAGAAGCTCTCGCTAGTTAGCTGACCCGAAGGAGTATATACGAGGTCTGGGACCGTGTGCCCAGACCCCAGGTGGGGTAAGGGGCCGGGGAGGCTGACACACTTCTGGGGTTTGCCCCGTTTGCCTTGACTTTGGATCTTTCGAGATGACGCGTTTTGATTGAACGTAATGTTCAATCTCAGGAGTCTGTGCCCAAGTCACTGGCTCCTCTCACTTGCCCTGTGGTGCCCCACAGGAGTGGGTATTTCAAAATCTTAATCAGCATAGTGTTCCAATATTTGTTTTTACTTTACTTAACAGATGCTTACAGAACACTTACTTAGTTCCAGGCCCCACTCCAAGCGCTTTACAAACATTATGAGGTAGCTCCCAAGCATCTTCAATAGTCAACGAAAGAAAAAGCTAGTTCTACACCCAGAGGAGGTGATACCCTAAAGAAAATTCTCAAAGGCATGGCGTTGGGGTTCTCCTTCCCACATCTGACTGGGAAGGGACAACTTTTCACTCTGCTTCCTGCTGGCAGCCCCCGCTCTCACACACATCTTCCCTTCCCTCCTTGGTAAGTGAGCTGGGGTTCCTGCAGACCCATGGCTGTCTTTGTCCTCCCTGCAGATTTCCCTCCGGTCTTCCACATCAAACTCAAGGACCAGGTGCTGCTGGAGGGAGAGGCAGCCACCCTGCTCTGTCTGCCAGCGGCCTGCCCTGCACCCCACATCTCCTGGATGAAAGGTAAGGAGAACACTCCTGTCACAGACAGCGGGCAGGCAAGTGGTCCCACAGCCAGGGGATGCTCAGGGGAGGTGGTAACTGGGGAGGGGGGCCTGGAGCCGTCTCACTCAGCAGCCCCCTCTGCTCTTCCCGGCCCGCAGACAAGCAGTCCCTGCAATCAGAGCCCTCAGTGATCATCGTGTCCTGCAAAGATGGACGGCAGCTGCTAAGCATCCCCCGGGTGGGCAAGCGACATGCTGGGCTCTATGAGTGCTCGGCCACCAATGTCCTGGGCAGCATCACCAGCTCCTGTACCGTGGCTGTGGCCCGTGAGCTAGGGGCAGGGACTGAGGGGGGCAGCGATGGCACGTGGTGGGCTAGGGTTTGAGGGTCCCTAAGCTGGGGCACAGGGGCTCACTGGGGCTCCCTTCCTCTTGCCAGGCATCCCAGGAAAGTTAGCTCCTCCTGAGGTGCCCCAGACCTACCAGGACACGGCGTTGGTGCTCTGGAAGCCAGGAGATAGCCGGGCACCTTGCACATACACGCTGGAGCGGCGGGTGGATGGTGAGGGACGGGGCAAGCTGGCTGGCAGAAGAGGGGGTGGGAGCTGGGAGGTGCTCGGGTCCCGGGAGACAGTTGCCCTCCCTGGCTCCTCACAGATAGCCCTGGGAGCTTGGGCCACCCCTTCTGTGGCCTCAGCCCCTCCCCCATGCTGCCCTACAGGGGAGTCTGCCTGGCACCCTGTGAGCTCAGGCATCCCTGACTGTTACTACAACGTGACCCACCTGCCAATCGGTGTGACCGTGAGATTCCGTGTGGCCTGTGCCAACCGTGCTGGGCAAGGGCCTTTCAGCAACCCTTCCGAGAAGGTCATCGTCAGGGGCACACAAGGTCAGTGGGACAGGACGGGGGGTGGCCAGAGAACTATGGTTTTGCCCCGGGGGTACCATGGTGATGATTTTCTTTCTCTCCACTTAGATTCCTCAGTTCTGCCATCTGCTGCTCACCAAGACGCCCCTGTTACCTCAGGGCCAGCCAGGGCCCCGCCTCCTCACTCTCCTACCTCACTGGCCCCATCCCAGACTCCTACCCTAGCTCCTGCTCCCCCAGCCCCTCAGTCAGCCGCTCTCAGCCCCTCATGTCCCCCAACACCCCCCAGTCAGGCCTTGTCCTCCCTCAAGGCCGTGGGTCCACCACCCCAAACCCCCCCACGAAAGCACAGAGGTCTGCAGGCTGCCCAGCAAGCAGAGCCCGCCCCACCCAGTGCCCAGGCCACCCCAAGTGAGCCCAAGTCTTCCATCCCTGACACTGGGACCCCAACCCCAGCCTCCACCCCTCAAGGGGTTAAACCAGCGTCTTCCTCTACTCCCCTGTATATGGTAACCTCCTTTGTGTCTGCACCCCCAGCCCCTGAGCCCCCAGCCCCCGAGCCCCCTCCCGAGCCCACCAAGGTGACTGTGCGAAGCCTCAGCCCGGCCAAGGAGGTGGTCACCTCCCCTGTGGGTGGTCCCCCCAGCTCTCCTGGGCCAGAGGGCACCACTCTTCGACAGGGGCCCCCTCAGAAACCCTACACCTTCCTAGAGGAGAAGGCCAGGCAAGTGGGTCTGGGGAAGGGACGGAGGACGGAGGGGGGAGTGGGTGGGATGTAGGGAACAGCAATTCAGAGAGAAGATCAGGTTGCCCTCGGCAGGGTTGGGGAGGGACTGAGATCTGGATGCCTGGCATATTAAATTCAGATTTTCTCTGCCAGGCACTGTGCTAAGCTCTTTAATCATATGATACCATTTAATCTTCACAACCCTGAGAGACAGACAGAGACTGCATTATTATCATCAGCCGTTTCACAGATAGGAAAACTGAGGTTGGACAGGTTATGGGATTTGCCTGAGGCACAGAGCCAGTAAGTGGCAGAGCTGAGACTCCCATCCAGGCTCCTAGGATTGAACTTCAGAGGCCACGCTCAGAACCATTGCATACTTGCTGCTGGGGGTCCCTGCTTCCCCGACCTCCTCTTCTCTGATCATGTGGTGTCCCCCCCATACACACATAGGGGCCGCTTCGGTGTAGTGCGTGCATGCAGGGAGAACGCCACCGGGCGGACATTCGTGGCCAAGATCGTGCCCTACGCGGCTGAGGGCAAGCGGCGCGTCCTGCAGGAGTACGAAGTGCTGCGGACATTGCACCACGAACGGCTCATGTCCCTGCACGAGGCCTACATCACCCCGCGTTACCTTGTGCTCATCGCTGAGAGCTGCGGGAACCGGGAGCTCCTCTGTGGGCTCAGCGACAGGTAACCCGGCGACCTGGGGGAGCAGGGAGCAAGTGGGGGCAGCTGAGCTGGGATGTCACCTGCTCCGCCCGGGCCCCCCAGGTTCCGGTATTCAGAGGACGATGTGGCCACCTATGTGGTGCAGCTGCTACAAGGCCTGGACTACCTCCACGGCCGCCACGTGCTGCACCTGGACATCAAGCCTGACAACCTGCTGCTGGCCCCTGACAACGCCCTCAAGATTGTGGACTTCGGCAGTGCCCAGCCCTACAACCCCCAGGCCCTGCGGCCCCTTGGCCACCGCACAGGCACGCTGGAGTTCATGGGTGAGGGCGCCATGCCAGCCGGGGGTTGGGGTGCTACCAGAGGGGTGGAAGCTGGGGCTCACTCTGCTTCACTCACGTATGAGCCATTTATTGAGTGCTTACTATATGTGAGCAACGAATTCGGTTCTTTCCATGCATTTTCTCTCTTTTCTTTTTTTAAGTTTATTTTTTCTGAGAGAGAGAGAGAGCATGAGAGCATGGGTTGGGAAGGGGCAGAGAGAGGGGGAGAGAGAGAATCCCAAGCAAGCTCCACACTGTCAGCACAGAGCCTGATGCGGGGTTTGAACTCAAGAATCGTGAGATCATGACCTGAGCTGAAATCAACAGTCAGCCGCTTAACTGACTGAGCCACCCAGACACCCGCCATGGATTATATTTTCAGTAGCCCTAGAGATTGGCATAACATTACCCCCATTTTACAGACGAAACAGAGGTGCAGTGAGGTTAAGTATTTGTCCAATATCAGACAGTTTATAAATGGTAGAGCCAGGATTTGATAAAATTGGACAGAGAGGAGATCAATTATTAATCTATTTACATAAGGTAAACCAGCTACCGTTTAGCTACCTACTGAATACTTTATGCTCATCATCTCTATTCCTGGGAGTTATTCTGCAAGCCACACTTTACAGATGAGGAAATGGAGAGCCAGACAAGTTTAGTACATTGCCAACGTCCCACGGCTAGAAGGACAGGCCTGGGATTAGGGCCAGCCAGGCTGATTTCAAAGGCTCTTAACCTTGGTGTTGGCCACGCTTTTTGTGAATGGGCGTCCTACCTCAGGGCTGATCCGAGGGAGCTAGTGGCCCTGGTTCCCAGTACCTCTGCAGTTCTGGGGACCCCACCATTCAGTACCTGGGCCGATTCCTCAGGCAGCCCACTTCTCCGCTGGGGGCCACCCAACACCCATTCGACCTGCTGGATCCAGGGCCTGTTGCTCTGGTTGTGCCCATGGTCTTGTGACCTGGGCACTGTCCTGCTCCCCCAGCCCCCAGGGGCCTCCCTTGTCTCCCCCGCTCCCCTGCCATCAGGAAGCTGGTTCAACTTGGCCTCTGTCTCCCGTCAGCTCCTGAGATGGTGAAGGGAGAGCCCATCGGTTCCGCCACGGACATCTGGGGAGCGGGTGTGCTCACTTACATCATGTGAGTGCCCCTAGGACCCACCTTCCACCTACATCCCTCTCCCCACTCACAGCCTCCCCAGCACACAATGCACACGCCCAGCTCAGGCTCAGTAGACTTATCTCTGAGCACTGTGCCCTTCTGAACCCCCACACTTACGTCCCCCTGGGGCTGTGAGCTGACCTTCGGTCCGCATGCATCAACTGAACCGTCTCCACAACAGGCTCAGTGGACGCTCCCCGTTCTATGAGCCAGACCCCCAGGAAACAGAGGCTCGGATTGTGGGGGGCCGCTTTGATGCCTTCCAGCTGTACCCTAACACCTCCCAAAGCGCCACACTCTTCTTGCGGAAGGTCCTCTCGGTACACCCCTGGTGAGTAGGCCCCACACTTGCCAACCCACCTGGCATTACCTGCCCGCGGCCTCAGACCACCCTGGCCAAGCCTGAGCCGAAGCCCCCGCCACCCCAATTCCTCCCCGGCCACCACTAATACACCACTACTTTTAAATGGTTGTTCTCTCCACCATTGATGCCTTTAAGCCCCGTGAGGCGGGCAGAGTCACCGCCCCTGCTCCAGAGATGGGGAAACCGAGCCCCAGAGTTGGCTCGCTGAGGGATGTGAATCCAGGACCAGGACTTGGATCCGTGGGAGGGCGGAGCCTTCCAGGCTCACTGTCCCTGGCCGGCCTGGCAGGAGCCGGCCCTCCCTGCAGGACTGCCTGGCCCACCCCTGGCTGCAGGATGCCTACCTGATGAAGCTGCGTCGCCAGACGCTCACCTTCACCACCAACCGGCTCAAGGAGTTTCTGGGCGAGCAGCGGCGCCGCCGGGCTGAGGCTGCCACCCGTCACAAGGTGCTGCTCCGCTCCTACCCAGGCAGCCCCTAGCGGCTCGGACCACAGCCTGGCCTCGGGCTTCAACTCGGGGCTCCACTGAGGCCACGGGACATTCCAGGGCCCCTACCGAGCCGGGTGGGCCCAGGGCTTCGGACACCACCAGCAGCAACATCCAGCCGGGCTGTTACCTCATGGACCTGCAGGGACAGAGGCCCTGGGCTTTGCCGATGCCACCCCGGCCAGAGCCAGAGGGGGAGACCCATGGGCCAGGCTGGGTGGGGGTGGGGGCACGGGAGCAGGGAAGCAGGAAGGGGGGCAAGAAGGGAATGGGTAAGAGACAAGGAAAAGAAGCCACGGGATAGGGAGAGGAGACTCTAGGAAGGTTCTGGGGGGGAGAGACAATGTATCTGGGGGGAAACCAACTTAGCAGGATATGAATAGCTGGAGAGGAGGAAGAGGAAGGAGCCCAGCGTGTCAGGGCCATGGGCTGGAAGTGAGTGTTGGTGGAGCGGGGACAGGACGTGGAGACAGCGCTAGGGAGCCAGAGCCAGCACGTGAGGGAGGGCAGCAAAGTGGGGGAGGGAGAGGAGAGGACTCAGGTGGGGTGGGGTGAAGTGGGCCAGCTGCCAGCATCCCAGAAGGAGAACCTGGAGCACTGGGGCCTGGAAGCAGTGATTATGGGAGCCAGTGCTCTCCTGTCCCAGTGAATGCAGCTGTGAGCACTCTGCTGGCCCAAGGATGTCCCCGCTGCCCCTCTGTGGCCTTCACCCTTCTTCCCATTCATATTTATTTATTTATTGACTTTTATGAAATTTCCCTTCCATCCAGTTCCTATTGCCCGTGTTGTCCTGACCATCCCCCCAGCCATCCAGCTGTCTGTGCAGCTGTCTGTCTGTCTGTCACAAGGAAAATAAAAACGGCAAGCAGCAGGACCTATGTGTGGTCAATGGGGAGGGATGATGGGGGGGGAGGGGAACAGGGTGCTGGGGGTGCTGGGACAGGGGCATTTCGGCCTGCCCTTGGCCAGTGAGAGCTGAGGTGTAACAGCTAGCATCTTAGGACCATGGCTCCTGACCCTGACCCTCCTGGCCCCTCACCTTTCCCTTATTCTGCCCCTCCTTCTGAACTTTCTGGAATCCTGGCAGGACCACTGACTCCTCACCACTACCATGTAACCAGAGTCTGGTGGCCCCCATCTTGTGTCACATATTACCTCATTGCAACTTGGAGGATACTGGGCTCTGGAATGTACCAGTCCACACCCCAAGGCTGGCGCGGCCAGCATGTCTGCCCAGGAGACAGGCCAGCTCTGGTCCCGACCCCTGGAACAGAAGGGCTTTCATCATGATAATTGGCAAGATGGTGATGATGGCATGAAAGGGCCGCAGAGGAAACCAGGACACGTTCTCACTCCACGCTTTTGTGTTAGAGCACCAATCAGGCACCTGGGGTGCCAGCTGCACAAGGCTGTGGCCGGCGTGTCGGCTGAGATAGGGCCACCGACGAGCATCTTCCTAGAGCTAAGGGGCACACCAAGCTGGATCTTCTTGTCCCCATGGCACGCTAGGGAGTCTGATGGGTGCCGAGGCTCCTTGACTCTAGCTGCTCCCTGCAGCACCACAGAATGGTCGCTGGGGTCCTAGAACTGAGCTGCTCTGCCCAGAGGTGAAGGGGAGGAGGGAGCCAGTTCTCCTTGTGTCCAGGGGGGGCTGTTTCCTACCTCCTCCACACCTTGCAAACTCTGTTCTTGGCAAAGTGAGAGGAATTAAAGTCTCCTCCCACCATGAGCAGAGAGAGGTAGCACTGGTGTGTTGCCGATCGTGGTTGAGGGCCCCTTGGCTGTGCCCCCAAACAACCTTCACCCAGCCTCACCCAGCCCAGCCTCCCTGGCTTCTCAGGAACCCCAGGGAAGAGGCAAGCCCCATCATCATAAAATAACAGGATGTTCAAGCCAGCTGGAAGGAACTACAGAGACGTCTTGCCCACCTGTCATTTTAGCGATGAAGATATACAGTTTGCCTGTGAGAATCTTTAATCCCCTACTCACTGCAAGTGTTTTCATATAAAAATGAGGTGCCTGAACTCATATCTTGATAAATGGTAAAATTCCTCTCCCGTCCCCACTCTGATCTTGAGCTCCCTTCCCATCTCCATTGAAAATGGCATGTGAACTGCTTGTTCCAAACCCGGAGGAGCAAAGGTAATTTATGTCAGCAGAGCTGTGTCAAAATTGCTCTGATCAAAAGGTGACAGTGCTCCACACCTGGGCGGGCAGTTACAAAGAGTGGAAGCAATGCTCTTCCTGGTGCCCTGGACTGGGTAGGCTGGACTCCAGGCAAGTCCCAGCAGGGTTAACTGAACCCCTTCATCCAAGCTGTCTGGTGCCCCTATGCACTAGTTTACGACCCCAAAGGGGCTTGGGCAGACCTAGAATTGGGGGATTGGTATTAATGCCAAATCTCCTGGGACAGTGCAGCCCAGCCAGACCCTACCATGTCACATGGAGGGAAGAGAGTGGGACTGGGGTGGTAGAAGGGGGTGCTGTGCTCAAAAATCTTTACCGTCCCCTCTAGGTTTATCTCAGTTGACCGCCAGGGGGCACAGCGCTGAAATGACAACCCTAGGCTTCCAGGGCCAGGGGAGTAAGTGCTTCCAGATTGGTCCTGACAGCCACACTGCCCTCTCATAATTGGCTGGATGGACAGAGAAGTACCCCGCTACTCTAGCGTCATTCAGGGACGCCCCCACAAACACTTGTGCCCCTTAACGGACAGTGTCCTGGGAAGCGCATGTTGTCTGACGGTCTGGGGACTGACCAGAGCGTAAAGCTGCCCCAGCTGGGAGCTGAATCTCTTGTCAGCCTGGGCCCTTGTCTGGTCCTCCCAGGAGTGGGATGGTTACCCCCTGCCCTGGGAGGGGGTGGGGCCGCATCCAGCTGCCCAGCTGTCCAGGTGCTGACATGAAGTGCACCCCAGAGCTGCTCGGGTTTCCTCCCCCGGGCCTGCCCCAGAGGCTGAGCCAGCATCCCAACACATCCTCAGGCTAAATAAGGAGCCCGCTTGGGTCAGTGGGCGGGGCTGGGGTCCCCGGGGGGCTTGGGGCAACCACGCCAAACAAGGCAAGGAGGGGAGTGATGTATAAAACCGGGGCCGTGGGCTAAGCACCTGCTCGTGCCCCTACTGTGCCTTCCAGGAGGGCTCTGTCCCACCTCCCACCCAGCTAGTCGACCCAAGTCCCGAAGTCGACCCGCCCGCGGTGAGTCCCCATCCTCAGACCAGCCCCAGACACTCCCATCCCCCAAGATGTTCTGAATTGACAGGGAAAAGGCTGAAAGTCAAAGTCTCTGTGTGAGCCTAGACCCCATGTTTGTTTTGCGGTCCCCAGATGTCCAAAGCAGCTCCCGCCAAAAAACCAGCGGCTGCGGCCCCGCCTCCGGGATGTACCCTGGATATCAACGACCCCCAGGTCCAGAGAGCAGCCATTCGCATCCAGGCCTCTTACCGGGGCCACAGGTGAGGGGGAGCCCGGAGCCCTCAGGAGGAGGGGAGCTGGAGCTGCAGAAAGCACCCTGCTGCGTGGGGGGTGGAAGCTGAGCACAGTGCTATGGACCGCTGGGGTCCCTGCACTTAGGGGAAAGCCGTTAGTGAGGTGTGGCACAGTGGCCGACAAGAATAAATCATTTCATCAGGGTAACAGTTCAAGAGCAGGCTCCCTCCGAACCCATCCCCACATTTAAAGTTCTAGTGGACCGAATGGGGGAGGGGGCGAGGAATTTGGTGCCGGCGGTCCAGAGCCGTGTCGTGGGTCCTCTGGGCCCTGAGCCGGCTCTCTGATAGGTCCCGGAAGGAGCTTCGCGAGAAGGGGCCACCACGAGTGCTGGAGCCACTGAAGGACGTGGTGCTGATCGAGGGCAGCGCGGCCAAGCTGACTTGCCGCATTTCGGCTTTCCCGGACCCATTCATCCGCTGGAGCAAGGACGGCAAGGAGCTGCGTGACGGGCCCAAGTATCGTTACGTTTTCGAGGACCCTGACGTGGTCGCCCTGGTGGTGCGCGACGGCGAGCTGGCAGACCTGGGCCAGTACAGCATCAACGTAACCAATCCCTTCGGCCAGTGCTCCGACTCGGCGCGCATCCTGGTGGAAGGTACGCGCGCCCCGGGTGCCACCACGCAGAGCGGCACCACCTCCAGGTGCCGCAACTGGGTCCAGCCGCGCGCGATCCGCTGGGCCTAGCCGAGTCCCGATGGGGCTGGGGGCACCGCCTGCCTCAGGAGCCCTTCCCACCCAGACTGAGAAGTCCGCAGTGGGCTTCCATCACTCCACACCAGGGCCCCAAGGTCACATTGAACCCCAGGCATTACCAGAGTTAGGGCCCAGGTCTTCGGACTCCAACCCGGGGCAATTTCCACTACGTGGAGCTGTCTCCAGGGCACCGAGGTGTGTAAACATTCCCGGGCTTGCACTCGTAGTACCTCTTTTGATCCTCCGTCCCCCCCTCTCCCCCGTGGGAAGTTGGAACGGCAGCTGCTAGCCCGGCTTAACAGCTGAGGAGATGAAGCCACAGAGAGGCTACAGGCTTGCCCCGCGTCACACTGCGAGTTTAAATCCATCTCGTATTTAGCGCTGGGTATTATCTGGGGAGGTGATGCCCCTGCCCCGCCTCACCCCTAGGACCCTCACTAGGTCGCATGCCCTTTCTCTTCTAGTCCCTGCGAAGATTCAAAAGGGACCGGATAACACTAAGGCGCGCAAAGGCGCCACGGTGACGCTGACTGCGGAGATCATGGGCGAGCCTGCACCCGACGTGGGCTGGACCAAGGACGGGGAGGACATCGAGGAGGATGACAGGCGAGGGCGGGGACCTGCCGCTGGGGCGGAACGGGGCCCAGAAAACTGGCGAGAGTGGGCCGGGGGGCGGGGAACGGGAGGCGAGCACCAGAGCTGGCTAACCAGCCGGGCCCCGGGCGCCTGTAACCTGACCGCGGCCCGCCCTCCCCACTCCCGCTCTCCCCGCCAGGGTGTTCTTCGAGATCGGCAGTACCACCACGACGCTGACCATCCGCCGGGCCACGCCCGAGGACAGCGGCAAGTACGAGGTGTACGTGGAGAACAGCCTGGGCATGGACCAGAGCTTCGCACGAGTGGACGTGGCCTGAAAGGAACGCTCGGACCTTTCGCCCTGGCTCCAAGCCCCGGGGTGGGTGGGACCGACAACCTTCCTCCATCTTGCTTAATAAAGCTGCTCTCTCTGACCCTCCGCCTGTTCTGTTCTTTGGAGACGCCGTTTCTTTTCCCCTGCACTCCAATCCCACGCTTACTCCAGACCCACACACCACGGTCACAGAATGTTGGGATCAGAATGTTTGGAGAGTGACTGGTCCAGTGCTTTATTTCACAGACCGTAAATCTGAGACAAGGTTTCTCTCAACGACCGAAGCTCCTTCCCTTACCAGCCGGACGGTCGGAGGATCTTATGACTCCACCTTCTCTTTTTCTGAGTCCCTCAAGCCCCACCCACTCGCAGTAGGAGGCTCTCGCCACGCCCATCTCAAGACTGGCCACACCCCCTTTCGTCTCTAGCCCCCGCCTCTCCGTGTCCCTGTTCTCTACTTTGACTGCTACTCCTGGGCCCGTTCCTGGACAGTTTGGGGTCCTAATCTTAGCTTCCAGCCTCGCCTCTTAGGCCCCACCCTTCTCTTTAGCCACTCCCCTCCATCCCTAGGCCGCGCCCCATTCTTCTCCCTTTAGTCCCACCTCCCTCCTCTTTCGTAGTTGGAAGGAGGGGTAGCGAGGAGGGCTACGGCAAACAAGAGCTTAAGAACTACTATTCCCGGCATACTCCGCGAAGGAGTTCTCGCGAGTGGCGAGAAGACACGTGCGCGGAAGGAGCAAGCGGTAGCTGGCCGCAGAGCTGGAATAAAGGGACCTAGTGGTAAACGGAGCCGATGGAGGGGTGGCGAAAGGGGTAGGAGGGAGGGGACCGCCCCTAGACCGGTGGCTGCTCGGAGGTCCCGGCTGGCCCTTCGGAGGTCTGCTCTTGTGTTAGCCCCGCAACCGCTGTCTAAGCAAGGCTAGGGTTTGTTAGACGGAGTCAGTTGTAGGGTTCAGAGGGTCAGCAATCAATCCTACGAATGCAGAGTTTTAGCACTCGTCGCCAGTATTGGGACTCAGGGGCTAGTAGATTCCGTGTTTAAGATGCCAAGGGAATCTGTCTTTTGATTCAGGGTTCATCACTTAGAGGTTAGTTTTAGGATTCAAGTTCGGCATATAGAGGGTTTTTGCTCGGACTTGGGATTCATGAGATGCGGATCAGTGTTACCTTATTTCTAGGGATTCACTCTTAGGATTGTGGTTAAATATCTAGGGCATACTCAGGATTTGAGATTCAGTATTCAGGGTTCACTCTTGGGATTCAGGGCTTAACATCTACAGCATAAGAATGTAACAATTGGAAATCATTGGGTTTGGGGTTTTGGTTTTGAGGTTTGGGGTCTAAGAGGTCTATTACTGAGTTTCTGAGTTAGCTAGATTTGCTTATGGCCACAGGGAAGTCTGTTGGATCAAATTGCAAGGTGTGAATTTCAGGAATTAGGAGAAACCACTGTGGGGTTTAAGGTCAGTTGGAATCTAGGATGGGATTTCAGATGTGTGGGATTTGTGAGGTGTTGTGTCCAGGGAGGGACTACATTGAATTTTGGATTTACATCCTGTGAGAGGGCTAAGTGTTTCTATTTGGGGTTTGGGGTTTGCTTGGGATGTGAGTGGGGTTCTTGGATTGGGGTGTGAGATCTGAGCCTGATTTCTCTGTTGGGATTTGAGGTTTAGGTAGCGATTGCCATCATGCTGAAAGCTGTGATCCTGATTGGAGGCCCTCAAAAGGGTGAGGAGCCCCGGGGAAAGGAGCAGGGAGGTTGGGCTGGAGCGGTTGGTGGAGCGGAGGCAGAGGGAGGGAGGCAAGAAGCTGTAATGGGCTTCTCTCTCCTGTCTCAGGGACTCGCTTCAGGCCTTTGTCTTTTGAGGTGCCCAAACCCCTGTTTCCAGTGGCAGGGGTCCCTATGATCCAGCACCACATTGAGGCTTGTGCCCAGGTAACCCCGTAGGCTCCCCACTCCCACCTCACTTCCTGCTTATCTTCTTCATGCTGTACGTCCCCCTTTCCAACCGTGTCTTGTTCCCACCAGGCATAACTCCAAGGACTCCCATTTACAAATGACAGTGTGAATGGTGTCCCTTTGAGTTATGCAGTGCAACTGCCCTGCTGTCCTTACTAATCTGGTCTCTCATCTGGCCTCTTCTTGGTTAGATTTCACTCCTATTTTTAAAGCACGGAATGTGCGAGCAGGCAGGAATCTTAGAGACCATTTAAAGCTGTAGCATGAGGAACCTTAATGATAGCAAAGCCCAGAACTCAAACCGTTGCTCACCATGGAGCTAATTTCTGTCTTGCTTTTATCATTGGGACAGGTAGAGGTTTATCTGAATCCAGTCTCTGCCTGCTATAAGGACTTGAGTAAATTTCTCCCTGCTTTGTGAGCCTTAGTTTCCTTATTTGTCAAATGGGGTGATTAAACCTACTTTGTGGGCTGACAGAGCTTAGAGATGAGGTTGGTAAAGTGCCTAGTACAAAGTAGGCACTTGATAAATGGTACCCATATCTCATGCTGATCTCAAGCTCAGATTGACAGATAATAAATATGGGGGGAAATGAAAGGATTATCTTTTCATGCAGCTTGGTGGGCAGAATCTTTCCTAGGGTGATCTTCAGATGTGGGGGATGGGGGGGGGGACAGTAAAATAATAAAAGATTGAAAGACCAGGGACAGACTTCCTCTAACTTCCTTTTTGTCTGGAGGAGAAATCAGGCCAGAGTGGTAAAGTAAGTGCCCAGGGGCCCCACAGCTGAGACCAAAACTGTGGTCTCTGGACTCCTGGGACTGTTCCAGGGGTTCCCCGAACATTCCCTCCTATCAGATATTTTCTTTTTCCTCCCAACCTCTTCCCTTGTTCTCAGGTCCCTGGGATGCAGGAGATTCTGCTCATTGGCTTCTACCAACCTGACGAGCCCCTTACCCGGTTTCTAGAAGCTGCCCAGCAGGAGTTTAACCTTCCAGTCAGGTGTTTGTGCACACGTGCAGTATGGGGGTGTGGGACAGTGACCTAGGCCTCAGGGTTCTTGTGAGTGGGTTGAGTTGGTGTTTGCCAGACTTTACCCTTCTATACTGGGAGGATTCTTGTTTGGGCCTCTCTGAATCCCTGAATATATTGGCCTTAGGCAGATGTACTCCTGGGAGCAGGAGGGGTCAGATGCCAGGCTCAGGATATCTGCCTCCTTTGATCTCACTGAGCTGGCTCTGGGGTCCCTGGGGACAGGTACCTGCAGGAATTTGCGCCCCTGGGCACAGGGGGTGGTCTCTACCATTTCCGGGACCAGATCCTGGCTGGGGGCCCTGAGGCCTTCTTCGTGCTCAACGCTGACGTCTGTTCCGACTTCCCCTTGAGTGCTATGTTGGATGCCTACAGACACCAGCCTCACCCTTTCTTGCTCCTTGGCACCACGGTGAGGGGGCTGGGAAGGCTGGAGGGTGTAAAGGGGGTGATCCAGAGAAGTTCCTGGAATGCAGGGTGTCGGGAAGGCAGGGGCAGCCCAGGGAGCTGGAGTGGGAACCGACATCAAGAGGGAAATGTGCCAGAAATCCCAGCAGTAGCTGAGGTGGCGGTGGAGACCCTGAGCCCTGTGGCTGCTTGGAAAGAAGGGAGGGGGAGGGCAGCTGTCAGTTCTCCCCCTGCTGAAGGCCTGTCAGTGGCAGAAATATGTGTCAGGTGCTGCAGAGGAGGGAAAGAAAGCAAGAAAACAGACCTTGCTGCCCTGGAGCAGGCGGGTCATTGTTTTGGTGTGTCTGTCTTTCAGGCTAACAGGACACAATCCCTCAACTACGGCTGCATTGTAGAGAATCCACAGACACACGAGGTGAGAGCAGAGAGGGGGCTGGCTGGGTTCTTAGTCTGTGTCATCATTCCCCCACCCCTCTGCTTCTAGAGAATGCTAGAATGCTGTTTTTTTAAAAGCACTTTAGTTATTTTGAGAGAGACATAGAGAGTGCATGCATGCACACACGTGTGTGGAGGAGGGGCAGAGAGAGAGGGAGAGAGAGAAAGAATCCCAAGCAGGTTCCATGCTGTCACTGCAGAGCCCGATATGGGGCTCAATCCCACAAACCGTGAGATCATGACCTGAGCTGAAATAAGTCGGATGTTCAACCGACTGAGCCGCCCAGGCACCCTGAGAATGCTGGAATGCTATTGGGGGGGCCCCAGTGCTGTCAGACTGGTGGGGCATACCCTTGGTTGTTCATCTTCTATCCGTTCTAGAGAGATTGGCAAAAAGCAAAGGGGTAACAGTTAATTTCCATGGATTCAGCGCCCCAATAGATGTATGCACAGGGTGCTATGGGAACACAAAAGGAGGCCCACCCCAGCCTTGCCTGGGTGGGGGCTGGGAGAGCTCCCTGGAAGAGGCAAGGTCTGAGCCGAGTTAAATTCACATAGAGGAAGAAGGAGACTGGAAGGCATTGCAGGTAGGGGGCCTGCAGGGCAAAGCAGAGGTTCTCTGTCCTTGTTTGTGAAACTCCCAGCCCTTGAGCCTAATTGACTTTCACACCGACGTTTTATTTGCTCAAGCTTTCGTATTAAAAATACATCTAAACAGGGGCGCCTGGGTGGCGCAGTCGGTTAAGCGTCCGACTTCAGCCAGGTCACGATCTCGCGGTCCGGGAGTTCGAGCCCCGCGTCGGGCTCTGGGCTGATGGCTCAGAGCCTGGAGCCTGTTTCCGATTCTGTGTCTCCCTTTCTCTCTGCCCCTCCCCCGTTCATGCTCTGTCTCTCTCTGTCCCAAAAAAAATAAATAAACGTTTAAAAAAAAATACATCTAAACAGGCACATGCAGGTAGACATACACACATACACATAAATATGTGTGATTTTGGGTGTTTTTAAGTTTTATGCGAGGCACTAGCTAGATGTTAGAGAGACAGAGCCAAAGAAATACAATCCCTGCCTCTCAGAAACCCCCTGTCAGTGGGAAAGACAGGCAAAAATCAAACGTTGCAAATGACACAGGTGCCACAGTGCGGTGTGGCCAGAGGCCACGGGTGCCCAGACCTGAGAAGCCACCTGTGAGGCAGGACAAGAGCAGACTCACAGAGGCAGTGGCAGAGTGGACCGGGTTTTGAAAGCTGGGTTTTCCAGATGAAGAGCGGAGAAAGGGCATTCCAGGCACAGGCAGGCTCGACGGCATTGAATTGTGCTCCAGGGCTGCTGGGAGGTGGGGAGGATTGGGAGGGAAAAGGCACGGAGTTGGGACTTCTCTTGAAGGTGAAGGGCAGTGACTGCAGTTAGGAAGGCCACCCTGGCGGCGGGGAGTACCTGGAGATCAGAAGGTCTTAGGGGATGGTGGCAGCGGCCCCTCCTCTACCAGACTCAGCCTGCTGTGTCCCCAGGTCCTGCACTACGTGGAGAAACCCAGCACTTTTGTTAGTGACATCATCAACTGCGGCATCTATCTCTTTTCCCCCGAAGCCCTGAAGCCCCTTCGGGATGTCTTCCAGCGTAACCAGCAGGATGGGCAACTGTGAGGCGGGCCCCATGGCCCTGTAACCCAAGTACCACTCCGTCCCAGACCACCCGTAACCCCCCCTACCCCCCCCCACCCCAGTCTCTGCAGGCTCCATCTCTACCCGCTCACCTTCCTCCTTCCTTTTCCTTTCCTCTTGTCATCCCCAGCTGAGCCTTCCCAGTCCCTCCCCTTCTAACCTCATTCTGTCCCTCTTCCTTATCCATCCCGGTTCCTCCTCTGTCACTGCCTGCCCACTCCCCTTCTGGTCCATTTCTCTCAAGCCCTAAGTGTCCCAGAGATGTCTTTCAGAACAGAAGGCAACACACACACTTGGGCGCACACACGCTTGGGTGTAGAGACATGCAGAGAGAGAGAGAGAGAGACACACACACACACACACACACACACACTCTCTCTCTCTCTCTCTCTCTCTCAGGCTGATGCTCCCCTCATAGCATAGTGCCCAGAGTCCTGCTGAGCACAGTCCCCTCCCCAGGTCATCCTTGGAGGCCCTGGACGTGTTTCCCCCACCCCCGTGGGTCCTGCCCTTCACCCCCTCCTCCCCGCTGGCTCCCCATCTCATGCCTCACTCTCTCACTCTCATCCATCTCTGCTTCTCTCTCCATCTCTCCTGGCCTCTGTCTGTTTCTGCTGAGCTGGCATCTCTACCATCTCTCTCTCCCCCTCTCTTTCTGTGACTGTCTCTGCCCTCACCAGCTGTCTTCCTCTGGGGTGAGTGTCTGTGTTTCCTTCCATCCTGTGAGAGGGAGGGTAGCCGGAGATGGGATTGGGAGGAGTGGACGGGGAGGAGAATAGGAAAATGGGGGGAAGCTATGTCTGGGTCAACTTCTTGGACAGGGGGCAGAGATGGGGTGTGGTCCATGCCTGGGGATCCCCCGGGATACCACCCTAGCTAGGGGTGGAGGGTGATGTGGGTAAGGGCAGTGGGAGAGTCTCCGGGGACATAAGCCTCCCCTTGGAGAGGATCTGACCAGACCTGGAGAGGGGGTGGGATTCCCTCAGATTCCTATCCTCTGAGAGACTGTGTGGGTCTCCCAGGCCAGCTCAGCCGGGGCACTGATGCCCACATCTTCTCCTCTCTGCCAGGGAGGACTCTTCAGGCCTATGGCCAGGGGCAGGCACCATCCGCTTGGAACAGGATGTGTTCTCAGCCCTGGCTGGACAGGGCCAGATCTATGTACACCTCACTGATGGTATCTGGAGCCAGATCAAGTCTGCAGGGTACGTATGCCTCTGGGAGGTGAGTGGGGCACCTGGGAGTTGAGACTTTCGGGTGGTAGGCACCTGCTGGCCCCTGAACCCCTGTTCCACTTTGTGGCCCCTCCAGCTCAGCCCTCTATGCCTCCCGCCTCTACCTGGGCCAGTACCAGCTCACTCACCCAGAACGCCTGGCCAAGCACACCCCAGGGGGTCCACGAATCCGAGGTACCCGCCCTGCCCCCTTCCTAATCTTTGCCCCCCACCCCAGCCTCCTGTACCCTCAGAGCCATCACTCCCAACCTCAGATTCAGAGGTGAAGACTCAATCCCTGCCCTCCCTGAACCAGATATGGTTTAGGGTATTTGCCCCCAGGTCTTCTCTTCTGCTTCTAGGAAACGTTTACATCCACCCAACGGCCAAGGTGGCCCCGTCGGCTGTGGTAAGCAGTGGGCCAGGCTGTCCGGATGGGTGGGGCGGTGCAGATAACTCCTGAGCTCAGAGTGCTGGGCTCTGCGTTGTCAGCCCATTGTGTGGCCACAAGCAGGTCCCTTCCCTTTATCTGTTCTATGAAGGGTTTGGATTTGGGTTTCTCCAAGGCCCTCCAGGGGTCATAGTATGTGTTCCTCTCCACAGCTGGGCCCCAATGTCTCCATTGGGGAGGGGGTGACCGTGGGCGAGGGTGTGCGGCTCCGAGAGAGCATTGTCCTCCATGGAGCCACGCTGCAGGTAGGTGCCCAGGCACATGCGGCAGGGCATGGGACCCCGAGGCTGGAGGGGAGGGGTGAACCCCGTGGGCTCTGCATCTGGCACCTTCTACTCCCTCACTTCACACTGTCGTGTTTGGCAGGAGCACACGTGTGTTCTGCACACCATTGTGGGCTGGGGGAGCACTGTGGGGCGCTGGGCCCGTGTGGAGGGTACCCCCAATGACCCCAATCCCAACGACCCGCGAGCACACATGGACAGTGAGAGCCTCTTCAAGGATGGGAAGCTGCTGCCTGCCATCACCATCCTAGGTATGGCTTCCTAGGGGACAGACGGCTGTGGAAAACCTCCACAGGTGATGGCTTTGCCCTGTGGGGAGCATGTGTGCACGTGTGTGTGTGTGTGTGTGTGTGTGTGTGTGTGTGTGTGTTTGCGTGCACACATACACGTGCGTGTTTACTCCCTTAGCAAACATTTACCAAGTGCTTGCTGTGTGCCAGGCCCTGATTTGAGTCACTGGGGGCAAGAGGCCAGGGCACAGATGGGCAGGGAGGGATCCCTCCCGGATGGCAGTGGCCCCAGCTCCTGGCCTCTGGTCTCCCCTCCCCATGGCTTCCTCCTGGTGCCCTCGTCCCCCCTGCAGGCTGCCGCGTCCGGATCCCTGCTGAGGTGCTCATCCTGAACTCGATTGTTCTGCCACACAAGGAGCTGAGCCGCAGCTTTACCAACCAGATCATCCTCTGAGGGGGACTGCCAGAAGGCACCCCTCCAACTCCTGCCCACCCCCCTCGAGGCTGCTGCCTGCATGGCCAGCCTCTGTCCAAAAAGACCGGAGGAAGCCAGGCAGGATCTTCACATGTTGGGGAGCAACGTGGGTGGCCAGGTGGCTGGGGAGACTCCAGGCCTCCCTCTCCGCTCCCTAATAAACCCCCGTGAACCTTGGAGCCAGCACGGACTCCCGTTTGTGCCTGGGCTGGGGGTGGGGGTGGAAGGGGGGCAGCTGAGTCAGGCCCCCCCACATTAGCATTTAAATTGGAGTCATCGCTGCCGGCTCATGAATAATGAATCTGGAGCCCTGGTAAATCTCCCCCTCCCAGTGCCTTTAGCCTCTCGCGCTGCTAGGGAGGAAGGCCCCCAAGGCTCCCAGCCTGCCTGGCCCCTGCCTTCACCCCCACCCCAGCATGGCCAGCTTGCCAGCCTTCCTGTTCCTCTTCGTTGGCCCTGGCTCGGGCTCTGAGTGTAAGGATTCTGAAGGGAAGGGTGAAGGATTTCGATGGGGCCGTGGGGTGCTGGCCGTGGGCTCACAGACTGAGAGCCACAGGCCTGAGATTGGATCAGCCGGTGGTTGCTTTCCTCAGTTTCTGCCCAGCCCGGCCCCAGCCTGTTTTCCGCTTTGCCAGCTCCATCTGTTCCTTGCCTGGCTTTTGGCTGGGTGGGGGTTTCTCCCCTCCCGAGGCCTGGTTGGTGTATGTCTTCTCCCCTGGCAGGCGGGACAGACCTAACTAAGCTGGTACCTGCAGCACAGTGGGGCCCCTGGTGCTGGGAGAGGAGGGGCCCTGGCCACCTCCCACCACCAACTTTGCCCTTTGGGAGGTCTTAGTCCTCTCCACATTCCTGAAGCCCCAGAGAAACCCAACCATCTATCATGTTTGCCCGTGACCCCCGTGTGCCCCTCTTGGTGCCCCCCCCTTTCCCCAGCTGTGGGTGCGGAGCTTAGTTGCCAGATGAGCTGGTAATGATCGTAATCTGCTAATTGAGAGGAATCTAATTACCCAAAGAGAATGGGGGGGCAGGGCGTGGGTGGGAGGGAGGAGGGGGTCCTGGCAGCAGGCAGGGGTGGCAGGCGGCAGGGTGCCGGGGCCTTGTTATCAGCACCAGGGTCTGGGACAGAGCCCAGGATTTCAGAGCATCAGAGCTGAGCAGTTAGGAAGATGTGCTTTCTCTGGAGCTGGGCTGAGGGTAATGTGGGAATTGGGCTAGATGTGACCTCCCAGCCCCCTCAGGCCCTGCAGGCTGTATGGGAGTGTGTGTGAAAGGAGCTGGGTTTTAGCAGTCCTGACCTACGACCTGCTTTGACTCAGCCTCTTTCCCATTCCTGTCCCTGCCTCCAGCCCAGACCTTCCATTATCAGCATGGGGTTGGAGGGAACAGCAGATGCTTACTCTGGGCCTGGGGTCAACTCCCTGAGGAGGGAGCTGGGAGAGAGATGGGCTATGGGGCCAGAGACTGGGTCCCTTCCCTGCCCTCCCCCCAGTCCTGACCCTTCTGTTCCAAGTGGTTGGCAGAGGCCATGGCAGCTCCATCATAAATATGATAATTTAATTATTTTCTCAGCAAAACACCGTGAAATCCAATAAGTCTGTGTCAGGCCCTGGCCCCCGGGACCCCCCTCCTAGGCCCAGTGGGGGTGGGGAGAGGCACTGGAAGGGGAAAGGGTCAGTGTTTGAAGCAGGGGGTGGCCAGTGTAGCTGAGATCCTTGTAACATGCCCCCTCCCACCAGGTTGCCCTAGTCACTGCTGCGTGTGTGCTCAGGCAGAGGTGGGGGTCTAGGAAGGAGCTGTGATGCCCTCCACTCCCCTCCAGCCCTTGTCCGCCCCAGGAGGGACTCAGCACCCAGTCTGCCTCTGAGGGCACAGCTCAGGGCCCAGGATGTGGGAGCCCCCTTCTCCACCACCTCTAGGTCTTCGTTGGCCCTGTAGGAGTAGGAGGGTGCTGGCCCCCAAAGGGTTTGAGAAGGGAGAAGGGAGGGAGCTGGGGTGGGAAGTGGGGGTGAGCGGGGGAAGGGATGCGGGGGAGGGGTGCGCTCCTGCCATTAGTGCTTTTTTAGGTTTCCATAAAAAGATGATTCTGTAAAACCCACGAGGGGGAGCAAGCTGGGGGCTGGGGAGGGGGGCAGGTCCCTGGCACCGAGCTGGATGGGGCGATGGGAGGAGAGCTGGGGCCCGACCGGGACCGAGCTTGGACGGAAATTTGGATGGGCTTCAGGAGCCAGCGAGGGGGAGAGGCCGAGCCAAGAACACAGACTGGGGGGAGGTTGGCCGGAGTGGGGTGGGGGCAGGGCCCTCATCTCCCTCCTGTCCCTTTGGCGGGGCTGACCAGGGCCCCAGTCCCACCCCCATCTCCATCCCCTCCCCCTGGCGCTGAGCAGCCATTATCGGGGGAGCAGATTGCAGCCCCCTCCCCCTCTCCGGGAAGCAGGCACAGCTGGGGCCCCGCCACATCTGCCGCATCAGCACGGAGCACAGCTGGGTGTGCCCAGAGCTGCGCTCCCCAAAACACAAAGGGGAGGGCGGGGGCCAAGGAGAGCCCAGACCCCTGAGACAGACACACTGACACTTCTGCCAACAGACACACACTCCTCGAGGCGAAGCTACACCCACCACCACACACGCTCCCTCCTGTGCAGACAGGAGAACTGACAAACACGCAATTACTCTGCCCCGCCTGCCACCCCCGCTCCCCTCCCCC